GAATTTGTACCAGATCTATATTTTAAAACATCGGTTATGGCATTTTAACAAAAATATGACAGCAGAAAGTTAGGTTATGGTGAAGTTGTATACCAACATATTTAGCATATGTACAGCCTTTAACAGTTACTAAACAACAGTTGTATAAGTGCTTCCGTTGGAAGCAATTTGTTGGCTAAAGTAGTAAATTGCACAGCAAGACAACAAGGCTTGGGTTTGTTTTATAAACATTACAATGCATGCCACAACACAACCATTTTGACTAACGTGCAAATACGCTATATAAAATAGTTGTATAAACGTTTATGCAACAGTAAAAAATTTGCCCTATAAGGTGTTGGATAACTATGCTATAAGAATATCTTAAACACCTCATTTTAGAGCAAATATGTTGCAGAAAGCAAATTTGCATTACACACAACATTAAGCCAGCATTTTGGTGCTCAGGCAACAACAATAGAGAGCTTTTATGGCTGAACGGTTCTTTTACCAAAAGCTTATACCACTACATTGATATTTGGGATGCCATTGTATCTGACGAAAAATTTTGTTTATTTATGTAGTATGTATTAGTTATTAGTTTATTTAAGTTTGTTAGTATGTATTCGTAAATAGTAAAATAGACACATGTATGCTTGTACAAGTTAGCTTACTATACTTACGACTACACTACATTGTTTATTCCAAAATTATCAAAGTAGCAACCACTGGCATAGATTCTGAAAAGATTCATTATTTGGTAAAAGGCCATTATTTTGAAATAAGCAGCAATTCTATTAAAATAATAGTTTATTATCAGCAAATAAGCAATCTAAAATTCAAGAAAAATTACGTTTTCCAAAGATAATCAAACAAAATTTATCTCACCCAATCCCTAGGGGTAAGACGATTTACATTGAGAAAAGCGATGAATTAAACCAATTAATATTTTATTTAGGCCAATTAAGAAATGTAATTAACCATATGACAGCGTAAAAGTCTTATTAGTCTAATTAAACTCCGACTTCTAGAACAGTTTTTTTGAATCTATGAAGCTAGTTCAATTAAATAAAAATGCATCATTTGCTTGAATTTATTAAACCGTTTACTTAGATTCAATAAAAAATGTATTTAAAATTAATAAACTATTGTAATGAGTTTACTTGCTCCAAGCAAAGCAATTCAGTTATATTTATTAAACTTGTTTTATTATTTTAGATAAAAGTGTGTTAATAAATTATTTTATTTAGATTCAAGAAAATATTTGGATAATATTTGGAATTTAAAATAACAAATTGCGTTTTACTGAATGTTGTAAATTATAACTGCTCTGATAAATCTTAGATATCTAAATATTCGGCAAAAGTATTGATAATTGATGATCTCCAATCAAAATAAAAACTTCTGAATTTGTAGACCTATCGAAATTCGATATTTTTATTTTCATTAATTGTGAACTTATTATATACGGGGTCAAGTTTAACCAATTATTTTTCTGATTCTCCAGGACCAGGTTATAATATCACTAGAAGCAAATATTTGTAGGGCAAGTAGGGAAAAGTATACCTGAAACTGAACGCCACGTGATAGTGTGAAAATTGTAATTTTATTTCTAATAATAAAACAATATTGCACTCACTGCATTCAACTCAATAATCTTTCATAATATACAGGGTGTAAACGTTATGATAGTCATTATTTAAATGGGTGATAAAAGTAGCAAAAAGTTTCATATCACATGGGGGTCAAAACGGCATTTTTTTAGAGAAAAGCGGCTTTAAAGTAAAATAAAATCTGACAACGCCGCAATGTCAGACGCAAATTACGACGGAACGCAGTGTAAATAAAGATGGAGTTTGTTATTTTTGGCCCTTAGGTATTATTTCATTATTTGATAATGTACTCGTAAAATGCAAACAATTAAAAAAACGGACTTACCATCACTAACTGTCTCAGCGCTTCACCTGGTGTGTGAAAGTTTATTGAACGTATTAAAAAAATCTACTTATAAATAGGGAACCCGTTGTTTTTCTTTTTAGAACCCACACTGCACTTTTTTGTATTTAAATAAGGCGTTCAAAATGTCGTCCTCCACTTTCCACACAAGCTTCATTACGACGAACCCAGTTTCTTCTTACTTTAGGTCCTCGAAGTTGTCCATTTATTATTTCAGCCGCATTAATTTTTTTTTTCGCGAAGTTGTGCTTCAGTTGTTATTGGACCAGCCCCATAAGCCATCATTTTAAGTTCTCCCCAATACCATAAATTCATCGGATTGAGGTCAGAAGATCTTGATGGCCATTTTCGAGGATCAGGAGCATTTCGACCGATCCAGCGATTTATATAATGTTCATTCAAATACTGAATGACGCCTCTAAAAATGTGTGGTGGTGCCCCGTCATGAAGAAACCACAAATTCTGTCTCCGTTGTAATGGCAATCTGAGGTCTGTTCCAAAAGTTCTGGTAGGTTATTGGCTAGAAAGCTAAGGTATTCTTCTCCTGAAAACTTTGGGGGTAACTCGAAAGGGCCAATTACTTGATCGTCAAGACTACCCGCCCAAATATTTATTTTGAAACGTTGTTGCAAATGACCTTCACGAATGGTATAAGGATTTTCTTGGGCCCACGTGTGAGGATTATAGAAATTTAATATCCCGTCTCGCATAAGAGTACATTCGTCCGTAGGTAGAATGCTTTTAAAAAAAAATCCGGATATTCAATGTTTTTGTGCAAAAAAACACTGACAGAATGTTAGTCTGCGAGGATAGTCTTCTGGTAACAACGCCTGTACTCGTTGAACATGGTAGGGATAAGGCAAATTTTCCCGTAGGATTCTATATGAACTATTTGACTTGTTTTGACCCCCCTATTACCCAGTTCAATAATGACTACCTTAACGTGTACGCCCTGTATAACACCGAACTAATGTTTTCTCTATTGTTTCAGGTTGTGAGATAAATTCAAGCGCTTCGAGTCTGGACTGCCTGAACCTGATCGTACAAAGTATTACCAACAAGAAACAAGAAAATGTGGATCATGTTACGTAGATAATTATGTATTTTTATAAAATAAATTATTTTCACCATCGCTATGTTCGTTGTCCCACAGACGAGAGACCAAGACTAGACCATGCTGATGAGTAGCCAAGAAGCACGAAACAGCTGTCTGTCTGACGAAAAAATTGTGCTTAGTTTGTTTAATGGCAAGTAAACCACATCCACTATACAGCCATCTAGCGGTCACATGGTAACTAGGCTATTTACCACGAGCTGAGATCTTTACAGTTCAAAAAAATAGCAGCTATGCGCTCTCCGCAGTGGTCGATTCTGGCGATAGATGGGGCTTTACGCTGCCTTATTTCGTGCAAAAATGAGTAGTTTGTGAGCTTTTCTATGATTATGTCGTTGATATGAATGAAAGGCTCCATCCCTGTGCTGCTGGCAAGAGAAGGAGAGGAAGGGGTGGGGGTGCTTAAATTAAGCATAGCTTCTAGAAGCGAGTGCAGGCGATTAAAAAAATGCAAGAAGAAGTTTCAATGATCCACCAAATATCGATTACCCAATGTTAGGGATGCACCGAGAGCTATTTTCAAAAAGCTAAGTACCGCGTACTGGGACAGATGCGGATATCGAGCACTGGGTACTTGATGGCCGGATACTTGTTGGAGTTGGGTTGCTTCAGCTACTGATAGTGGTATCAAGAGTAGATTTGAGTTTTTGAAAAGTTTCTTTATTCTCAAAAAAAAACATTATAGGTAATTAAAACCATAATTTGACATTACATTTTAAAACAATATACTACAGTTTTTGATAACCTTCTCAGTCTTTCCTGTCACAGAAGCATTTGGTAGGTATTAACAATAACAGTATTCGTTATTTGCAAATACAAAACCACTTGTGATAGAAATCGCGTGAATCGAACAAAAGTACCGATAAACTCTTGCTCTATAGCATATTATCAAATCTGTCAAGTAATCGATTGTATATAGATCTAGATTTAGTAATATGGTTAAAAAGTTTTAGACAATTGTAAAGAGTTCCTTCAAATAACGCTAATCTATGCTTAGGATAAATATAGTTAAAAATCCTAGTATGGTTATTTGTATGTTCATTAACTGTGAACAGTCACTTACTTTTAAATAGATATATGGGTGATTATCATGAAAGGTGAAAATTTTGAGTACTCGTTAAAAAATATCATTTTATAAAAAAATCCAAGTGTTAATAACATTTTTAAAGTTAAGGAATATTCATAACTAATAAATGCATAGTCTTTAATATTTCTGTTTTTTTTATTTATAACCAAAAAACGTATGAAAACCTCACCTCCGTGACTGTTCTCTTTTACCATTGCCATCACAAGGCTACATAAAAACTATTACTAAGAAAGAAATCTATAGAAGTTTTATCTTGAATCTCCAGAATTTGTTTTTGTAGAAGAGATATGAACAAAACTTTTCTTTTGGAATATCATGTAATTTACTGTTTGCACCTCAACCCCTGTTCTGGAAAGTAGGTATCAGCTCCGTGACGTACCTTTTGATGCAGATTTCGGCTCACAGATGGCGAACTATTCAATTTCTGGCATTGTATCGCGTTACAGCAAACCACGACCTATTTCGTTCAGTCCAGAAGGGTTTATCTCTGGTTCAGTCGATATTAGGGATTGAAAGTGATCAGACGGATTCTCTCTTTAGTTTAAGACTTGTTAACTACGTGGAACCTTTGTTGTTCTCACATCCGTGAATTTGTTTTTTTTTGTAAGTAAATAAGAAAAATGCGTAGTTTTAATATTGATACTTGACATAATATTCCCACTAGAGCTGGTTTGAAATTTACTTGTGCAAGACATTTTTACAACAAGTTATTAAAGAAAAATATGGTAATTCCTCACTTCCGTGAGCCTCACCTCCGTGAAGTTACCAGTTCACGCAGGTGAACCAAGTTTCACGGAGGTGAGACATTGTAATGGTTTAGTGAATTGAAGTATACTATAATATATGCACCGACATTTTCAGAACATGGCTCGTTTAAAAGTACAGAACAAAAATACAAAAGCTCATCACGAAGAAAAGAAAAGAAGGCAGCGCGAAGCTATGAGAAGGCTAGGTGAATCAAGGCGACAGGATCCAGAGAAGTATGAAGAATACAAGCGAAAAGAACGGGAACGGTATTACCGGAGAAAAGAAGCAGGCCAAATTAAAACCATTGACCAAATGTCAGAAAGAGAAAAACGGAATCAAAGGAAAGAGTGGCGGAATAGAAGAAAAAAACACTATCTTGGAAAGAAAAATGCAAAGGAGCTCGAGCTTAAATTACAAGAAAACTCACCACCTGCCACTCCAATCCCGGAAGAACTAATGGCTGAAGCAAATACTTCAAGAAAGAGATGATGGAAGAAAGAGGCAAGGCAGGTCACGAAGAAGAAAACACGTAAAGGCTCTAAGAAAACAAATAGATTTGTTAAAAGTTAATCTGGAAAAAGAGAAAAGAAAGAAGGAAAAATATAGAATGAGACTAAAAAGAGTAAAAAAGCGACTGCACAAAAACATAGATTCGCCTGAAAAAAAGTGGAAGCACTAATCAAGGGACAAACTGTTTCTCCTGCTGTTAAGAAAAAACTGTTATTTTCAGAAGTTATAGCGAAACAGTTAACAGAAAATTATCGGGTTCTTACAAATCCTGCACAGAAAAGAACATTTTGGGAAAATATTTCTGGAAATGTTGTAAAAAAGTACAAACAAATAAGCTATTTGAAAAGAACTGTGTCTTTATTTACATCCTCAAAAGATAAATCTAAAACGAGATTAATAAATCAGGAATTCATCAGGCAACAAATAAAAAATTTCCTGGAAAAAGATGACTGCAGTAGGCTCTGCCCTGGCAAAAACGATTATGTTATAAGAAAACATGATAAGAAGCAGAAACGACTACTAAATGATACACTCAGAAATCTACATAGACGATTTATAAAAGAAAATAAGTTTCTAATTAGCTACACAACCTTCTGTCGATTACGCCCGTTCTGGATTATACAGCCAAAAATAGAAAAACGAAATACCTGCCTTTGTATGATCCACACGAATATGTGGTTGCTCGTTAGAAGGCTGAAAATCGCAAATATTATAAAAGAGAATTCTCCTGAAGAAGTATGTAAAGCCATTTGTTGCGAAGGGGAAGTACTGAAAGAGATATGTTTAGAAAGAAAATGCGAAAGTTGTAAGAAGAAAACTGTAGTTACAGCTGAATTTCATAGATCGGACACCATAGTTCATGAGAGATAGGTTACAAAGCGGGTTACAATAGTAGTGAAAGGAAAAGAAAAGTTGTGTACAAAAACTTTTAAGGAGAAGCTTATGTCTACTAAGGGTGAGGTTCTTCAAGCGTTCCTTAATTCATTGCAGCCTTTTCTTATGCATATAAAAAATTCAGAACACCATATGAGAGAAATTCGGAAGATCAAAGAAAATATGGATAATACAGAAGTTCTAATACACATGGATTTCTCCGAAAGTTATGGATGTAAATATGCTGAAGAAGTCCAGTCAGCTCACTTTGGGGGCTCAAAAATGCAGTTGAGCTTACACACGGTAGTTGTGTATTATAGAAGCTCTAACAATACTATGCAAAAAAAATGTTTCTGTACAGTATCCAAAAGTTTGCGGCATGATCCTGTGGCAATTTGCGCCCATCTACTTCCCGTTTTTAAAAAACTCAAAACCCTTGTAGGCAATTTGAAATGCGTTCATTTTTTAAGCGACGGACCCTCAACCCAATATCGGAACAGAAAGATGTTCAATTTGATGGCAAGCTTCATTACGAACGAGTTAAATGTAGAAAAGTTACGGTGGGATTATAGTGAGAAAGGTCATGGCAAGGGAGCTCCAGATAAAGTAGGTGAAGTCTTAAAGCGCACAGCTGATGCTATGGTGGCTCGAGGAATAGACATATCTAACCTACAATCTTTTTTGTTCCATTTGAAAGCAAACTGTAAAGGTGTCATTCTCTCTGAAGTTCAGATAGATGATGCAGAGTTTGACAAAATTGAAAAGACGATACCTAAAATACTGCCATCGTATACCGGAATTTTACACTGCCATGAGGTTGTTTGGGTGAAACCACATACGTTCCTAGATATTCGAAAACTCACCTGTCTCAGCTGCTCTCAATCCAAAGTTTGTTCTCATTATTCCTTGGGAACTTAGCAATTGCAGCAACGTATCCTTTTTTATCAAATTATTTTGGCATTTTCAAATATTTTCTAATTCCTCATTTTTCCATAACTGATTATTAGCACATACAAAAAGAAGACTGATATACTCTGAGATTTATTCATCATCGTCGGAGGATGAAGACGACAATCTGCCTTTAGCTATGCTTTTAAACTGAAATAATTGTGCTCTTTTACATTTATATAATCGTTTTTTTCGAATAAAGGACTAAAATTTAACATGAGTTTGCAATTATATGAAGTAGTTTTCACATCCGTGAGAGGTGATCACCTCCGCGATTTATATTTTTTCGAAATTCTCATAATTTCAAAAACCAATCGGTAAACTGTTTGACCTTATACCTAATCAAATATATCTTATGATGTTTCTCCGCGAAATTGCAACAGATATTGGAAAAACTCGAATTTTTTTTCTGAACAAAATTAGATCGATTTAATCACCTTTCATGATCATCACCCATATAATGCACTATCGAATAAACACTCCAAAAACTGATAAAATACCGAAGGGCTAGAATTTGCTTCTACATGTTTCGTTTAAAACCCAAAATGTTTCTCAATGTTCTTTTTTGTATTACCAAACTTTTATCAAAGTCACTACAGACTCCAAATAACATAATTCCACACATCGAAATTCAAAATTTGAATGATACACAACTTTCAAAGTTTTTCTATCTAAATATTTAGCAAATAACAAAACTAAAATAATTTTTTGTGACATGTAAACAAATAAGATATACCCAAAAATTGTCCTGTCACAAATCTTGTGTTTATCAGTGTAATTCTTATAGAATAACATACGTTGTTGAGCTTATTTCTGAAATAACGTATACTAAGTGACATAAATCCGAACACCCAGTTTAAATGGTTTTATTTTAATAAAAGTTGGTGAATGTATTTATCTTACTGTAAATAACAAGTGAAAAAATTTTCAGCCTTATCAGTTGGACATTCCGGTTTTTATACTGCTTTTTTTTAATTCACTAACGCTCTAACGTTGGCGGATTTTGGTTCTTGACATCCTTTACGATCGGTTACGATGCCTAGAGTACGGAGACCTGTACGATTTCGTCAACTTAGTGAGTTTGATAGGGGCCGTATAGTTGGACTTCGGGAAACTGGACTTTCTTTTCGGGCAATTGCAGTTAGAGTGCAAAGAAGTGTAGACACTGTGGTTAGGTGTTGTCAGGCATGGCTTCGAGAAGGCCGTACGCAAAGAGCAAGGGGCACTGGACGCCGCCGTAGAACAACAGACCGTGAAGATCGCCGCCTAAGATTATTGGCCTTAAGGGACCGTTTCTCCACTACCAGGTCCATTGCAAATGAATGGTTTGCAGAACACGGAAGACCTATTGGCATGCGAAGTGTTTACCGACGAATGATAAGTTTTGGCTTGTTTTCATACCGGCCACACTGGGTCCTCCCTTTAACTCGAGAACACCGACGTAATCGCCTTGAGTGGTGCAGACAACGGTCACTCTGGGATCAGGAATGGAACAGTATTGTCTTTAGTGACGAGTCTCGATTTTGTTTAGGCATGCACGATGGTCGTGCCAGGGTTAGAAGGCGACTTGGTGAAAGGAGGAATCCACAGTTTTTTGTTGAAAGACATGTTCATCTCACTGTTGGAGTTATGGTTTGGGGTGCTATAGCTCATGGTTCCAGATCACCTTTAATCTTCATCAGAGGTAACATGAACGCACAGCGTTATATCCCCGAAGTTCTAGAGCCCCATCTTTTACCCTATCTTGACACCCTGGCAGATCCAACTTTCCAACAAGATAATGCCCGACCACATGTTGCAAGAGTCACAATAGACTTCTTTCAACATAATGATGTCACATTGTTACCATGGCCACCAAGATCTCCAGACTTATCCCCAATTGAGCCCGTGTGGGATATGATGGGTAGGAGATTGCTCAATTTGCAACGTCCTCCTCAGACTCTAGAAGCACTTCGAGAGGAGTTGGTGGTTGCCTGGAATGAGATACCACAGGAGGACATTGACCACCTTATCAGAAGCATGCCTAGGCGCGTTGGAGAATGCGTAGCACATCAGGGTGCATCCACACATTATTAAAGGTCAAAGGGCTTTAAAGCAGTGCAATCATTTTGAAATTTTTATCATTTACTTATTATACTTCATTAAGTACTTATACAAAATTTTATTAAAATAAAACCATTTAAACTGGGGATTTATATGTCGCTTAGTATATATGGTTGTCCCACCTGAGGTAACTATGTAATTCAATCTAGTATTGTCAGGCAATGTAATTGTACCATTAAAACAAATTGAATTTTGAACATTTGCTCTACAGTACTCTGAGTTTTATTAAGAATCAGCGTATTATTATAAAACTAGATTTGTACATTGTCCATATTGTAACGACGTGGGGGTCAAGTTTGCGCTGGGTTGAACAGACCCGCTAGTGTGAAGGCTCAAATGATAACACAAAAAAATAAAATATCAAAGTGTATTAACAAAACGCCACGCAAATAAAAGTACCTTAGGCTTGTAACACTACTGAGCGGGGCCGTGGGAAATGCTTGTTCCGGAAGTTGTTGTATTCAGTATACAACTTTTTCCCGTTCAAGGTACACACGTTAAGGAATACCTCAGTACCGACTGCCGGGTGGCGGTACAAGTCCATCAATAGGTCACTTTAGCTCTATTTAACATCAATAAAACCCAAAAAGAAGGTGATAGACAAGGACCAGTCGACCGAGACGGTACCACCAACTATCTTTTTCCAGGGTCTTTAATTATCCGCATGTTTACACAACCTAAGCTACGTAGTCGGTTATCTTCCCTAACAAAGAAATTAATGATGATGCATCCCTCGAGTACTAAGAATTCCGAACGTAAACTCACTCTTCTCTTGAAATGTCCGGGTGGAGGGTGGACTCGAGGGTACTACATCGATGATAAAATTTGTTTCACGAACATCTGCGGGATTAACAGCAACATTGATGCTGTCCATCACTATAATAATCCAATCGTCCTGACATGCTTCTCTTGGCGGAGGCGAAAATCTCAGAGACTGAACCTGAAGCCTTAGACAGTTCAAAAATCCGACTAACCAAATTTCTTTGGGATCCACGGTGACCAGACATTCAGGCTTCTGCCTGCGCGGCTGCTCCGGTATAGAAAAAAAAGTACAATAAAATGAAACAGATTCTTACTTTTTGGCCCGGGAAGGTCCGGTCCCACGAAGAGAGATTCGCCCCGAGTGATCCCAGGACTGGAATAATCCCACGTGTCGGCCCATCCAGTTTTTATAAACCGATAGAAACCCTACCGGCGGCGCATAATACACCTTTGCAGATAATAATCATAGTATTGCATGATTTGCCGACGATGTGCGCATTTCGCAGCGGATGCAGTTTAGGATGTCTATCGACCTATATAGCGCCTATATGACGCACGTAAGACGCTAAAGGGTGATCACTCGGGCAATATTATATCCTTCTTCATCAAGTGCACTCTTCGTAATTTTATACACATCAGAACTGATACGAGTATTGCTGGTTGCATACGTTAATCTGTTAGGCAACACAATTCCTTCGTAAGTCCGGAGATGTCGATTTATGCGTACAGAACAAAATCAGAAAATCGACATTTTTCGGACTTACTAGGTATTGATTTGAGGTCATATTTGAGATCATGGATATGCAAGACCGAACTATACCCTATGTCACGAGTATCCACCACGTTTTGACGTCTGCTGAGTTGAATAGGTGAACAGCGGATCAGCAAGTGACATTGTTGTATTAATCTGTATCCTTGGCAATAAATAATCGGGTGTAAATATAGTAAAACTTGCTTTTAGCGTTTTTTTATGCAAATGAATTTTTCTAAACAAGAAAGTTGTTAGCCAGTACAAAATGAATCTGTAGTGTACAAAAAACCTAAACAAAATACGACTCTGTCTACCTGGTGTTGATGGTTCCATCAGAATTATGTGTCATTTGTCGATGTGGAGAATTTTAAAATATTACTAGTTAATCAGCTGTTATTCTACCGTAATGGATACTCGTGAAAAAGACAATAAGGTAAGGTTTCCAATGCTTCATCTCTACTGATGTATACTGAGTGTGAACCTGTATACATCAATATGATACAAGTGTGTCATCTTGACTCCGGCCCTGCCGCTTTGTATAGTATGGATGTTCGACACGATCCGATATTTAAGAGTATCGATACTTTTGCTTCCGATACCCGATATTTTATATACGATACTTGGGTGTATCGATACATTTCACGAGTATCGTCAACCTTCGATCCGGACTGTGTCAGGAAGAGTGACTAACTTCAGATTACTCTTCTTCTGTGTTTCCTTCCGCTGGTGCTTCTCACTTCACGACCTCACATGGTTTATTTTGGATTCCAGTGGGTTTTCCGCAAAAATCAGGGAATTTTTATTTCAATGGGGAAGATTTTCTGGGTATTTCTTTTGGGAAAACATATTTTCCTGGGGAGGTATTATTATATAAAATTTTATCATTGACATTACATAATTTACTTGTTATGTATATATTTTTGTCTTTCGATTCAAAACAAATACTTCTACCTTTTGGGGTATTTAGCGATATACCAAACATATGTCGCTCGAAAAAATAGTTTAAAATCGAAGAAAACCTAATCGCAAACGTATGGTAACAAACAATAGATGGCATTTTTGGGGATTTTCTTTAAGTCCTGAATTTAGGGGATTTTTCCATTTCGACTGAGCTAAGCGATCTAGCAGCCCAGTTGGATTCCGTTTCGAGGAATTATTTGATTAAACATTATAGTTTAAAACAAAACATTATTGTGATAGTGATGCCTCCTGTAAGAAGAGATTTGTGGAACTATTTTGTAAAATTGAGTTTAGGCGGGAGGTGTAATTGTGAGGTTTTTACCTATTATTAGTGAACGTACTGGACAATCTAGTGATGCAGTTGAAAAAGTAAACATTATTTTTGAGGTTGTAGAAAAAATAATTTCGATTTTCGGTAGTGTATGTTCCTGTATGTTCCTTATCGAAAGGTTTCGATACTTGTGGTATCGATATTTTTATTCCTATATTTTAGAGTATCGATACTTCATAAAACGATACGATTCGATACATGGTATCAATAATTTTCGTGGATCGGAACATCCTTACTGTATATCCACCTGGACGAACTTATATCTTTTCTAACTTATAGCTGGAAAATATTGTTTTTAAGCAAACTCCAAGAATTATGAAATTTATTCTAGTTTTTTCACTCCTTATTGAGAAAAACAAAACAAATTTTGAGTTCATACATTGAAACAAAGCGTTCAAACGTTCACCTGCATTTCAGAGGTAAGATCGTATTAAAATAAGGGCGTAAAAAATAAGATATACCGATAAAACTTGAACATTGTACCTTCTCTTTATACTTCACAGTGAAAAACCACATTATACTTTTGAAAGCAAAATATTGATATTACTTAAAAATAATAATTTTGGAAAATACCCTCTTCCATATCGTGTGACATTTGACAAGAAGTAACAAAAACACAGGATAAAATAAATTATATTTTATTAGATACATGGTTACATTTTGATTATTATCCATTAATAGTGCGCATTATAAAAAATATCGTTCATAATTTAGTAACAAAAAAACTAACAATAAACAATTACTAAGTGTTACTTATGTAAGTATGTGTTTGATGTTAAACACTATAATACCATCGAATTGAGATACAAGAAACATGCACGTATGCTATTAAATAAACACTTCTGGACAATTCAAAAAAATTATTCGTTTATTTATTTTTTGTCAGTCTTAAGTCGTATACGACACGTAAAGAAAGCATTGATTTTGTAAGGGACCTTTTTGTAGGTTTTGCTGCTGCAAAAAATATGGCACCAAAGTTTTTTTTACACATGTACTAAACATTTTGCTGTTGGTAGTAAACACGCTTTGAAGCTGTACACGGACTGTCATAAACTATCTTCTCATATTCAAAAATTTTACGTATGATGACCTAAAATTAACCAAAAATATTTTTGACAATGACCTCATGTACCACATCTGTAAAAGAAATGCATTTTTTAGAAAAACAATTCCGTAAGAACTTGACAATAAACAATATGGAATAGTATTAGTTACCTCTAGTAGTCAAATGTTCTCCAAGTTTTCTTTGAATTTCTTGGTCAACATATAACAATAGAAATATTGTAGTAATTTATGTAATGAAGACCCTAAATGAGCAAAATGAGTAGCAACATACCACAATACTTTTAGTGTGGCAAGCTATATATTGCTAAGCATTTATACAGCGTGACGGGAAAATAGATGCGGAGCCGGTGAGGGGAGATAGTACAAGCCAATTTGAGTCGGTTTTACTATAGGAACTACTGTCCGAAAATTAGCCGTTTTCGAATTATACAAATTTTTAAGATTTCATAAAATTAACGTCCTTTATACGTTAACCAAGTCATAAAACTGGAAAATTGGGTGTTTCATTTGTTTTTTTTTTTTGTTTTACAATAAAAATATTCTAAAATGCGAAAATTGATACTCAAATGTACATTATTGACGTTATCTCATGTAGTAAGCTTCAAAATAGTTAAATTTTTGTTAAAAAAACTTCGTTCATCTCAAAAACTCAATTTACTAGAAACAATCACCTACCAATTTTTCGTGCAAAACAATTTAAAAATGTCTACGTTTTATTACCTTTCAAATGAGGTATCAAACTCAAAAACCGGTTTAGAAATGACAAAGATATGAGTGAAAGAAACAGTTAGAGCCGCGAACATCGGACTTCGCCACCGGAATAGTATGATAAGTAAGACTAGTCACCCCCTTCCCTCCCTCGCTTCAATCTGCTGTTGCGATTTGTTGCGTTCGGATGTGTTTGTTTGCTCGCTGTTTTGATATTTCTAACGACTTGGCTGTTGTTGGACTTCCGTGTGTGATTCTTTTCCTGACGACCTAGACTATACCCTGTTTTCTGTGATTCTTTACGACTTGGCTGCTGTGTGACTTGATTGTTCGTTGATCTACCTATCGATAAACAATGGCTGATGAACAAAGGAGGCGGCCGTTCAGTTTCGAAGAATATGCCGATATTCTTTTCTACTATGGAGATGCCATAGGCAATGCTGAAGAAGCTCGTCGTGAGTATGGGGAAATGTTTCCTAATCGTCGCCTACCTGACGCCCGCGCATTTAGGCAGACGTTCCGTCGGGTTCGAGAGCGCGGTACCGTCGTAAGATATCAAGGTAAGTTTGCATCATTGATAATCATTAACTTATCATAATCAGTCATTCAGTAAGGCCTATGTAGAGCCTTTGAGGTCTGTGGGCTGAACTGATGATACTGTAACATAGTTGTTTTGATACAGGTGATTGAACTTCTTAATTAAGAGTTTATTCATTTAATTTTAACACGATCATCTACACGACTCTGAAGATGGAAACATCCACACATTGTGTATCGCTTTTCTAAATAATATTTTGATAACTCTAGCTCATAGTCTTACCGCTATGTTTATTAGATAACAATTTCCTCCAAAAAACTGTTATTTGTTTTTTCATTTTATTTCAGGTGATGCAGGTAGACCTCGACATGATGTGGAAGAAGAATAAGAAATATTAAATATTTTCCAAAGAGACCCTACTCGCTCTACTCGCGCTGTGGCTCGACGGCTTGGATTATCCCAATGGCAAGTGTGGTATGTTTTGCAGGAAAACATATTTCACCCTTACCACTACACACCTGTGAACGTCATAGAGGAAGGAGATCCCATGAGGCGCATGCAATTTTGTCGTTGAAGATAGCAATTATTTAAGGCGTGTACGTGCAGTGGGAAATCCTCATATGAAGAGACCAAAAGGATGTCAGGGGCGATTTTGTCTGAATGTCTATATGGGCATTATAAATAACTGTTTGGTAGGACCACATTTCCTACCCGACAACTTAAATGGAGAAGCCTACGAAAATTTCTTAAGAAATGTTCTATTTGAATTACTTGAAGACGTGTCGCTACACACAAGACACAGAATGATTTTTCAGCATGACGGGTGCCCAGCACATTTCAGACTAAGTGTTAGAAATTGGTTAAATGAGCACTTTCCGAATCGATGGATCGGTAGAGGCGGACCAATCCCATGCACGCAGTCCCGATCTAACACCTATGGACTTTTTGTGTGGGGTCGCATGAAAACTTTAGTATACTCTGATCAAAATCCTGTACCCACAATAAAAGACCTCAGAAACAGGATAAGAAATTCAAGCCTCTCTTCGGAATTCGGCGGTAGTAAAATCAGCTGTCATAAGAAGAGCACGTGTGTGCATTAGAAATAGAGGGCGCCATATTGAAAATGAATTATAAAAATAAATAAATGTAGTTTCAAACAAACTATCCTGTATTAAGGTATGATTTTGAAGGTGCAGTATTTTTATTGCTTTTTCCTTCCTCCTTTTATAATAGTCTTTTTTTTGCCAATTCTTAATCGATTTGTGATTTTTATACCTCATTTGAAAGGTAATGAAAGGTAGATGTTTTCTAATTATTTTGTACGAAAAATTTGTATGCGACTTTTTCTAGTAAACTGAAGCGTTTGACATGAATGAACACAAATCGAACTATTTTAAAGCTTACTGCATGAGTCAATAATGTACATTTGAGTATCAATTTTCGTATTTTAGAATATTTTTATTGTAAAACCAAAGTTTTATGACTTGGTTAACGTATAAAGGACGTTAATTTTATGAAATCTTAAAAATTAGTATAATTCGAAAACGGCTAATTTTCGGACAGTAGTTCCTATAGTAAAATCGACTCCGATTGGCTTGTACTATCTCCCCCCACCGGCTCCGCATCTATTTTCCCGTCATCCTGTATATTGCTGCCAAATTGTTTTATATTTGAAAACAACTTAAATCAATGTGCTCTGTTCTTACGCTGCTATTGATAAATGACGCTGTCTATATGAGCATATACATGCATATAGGTGACTACATCGCCATCTATAAGACACTAACTTTTTCAAGGTATACCTATACATATGATAAATAGATACAGACAAATTCTTTTAGATGACTATGGTATCTCATTTTATATCGTAAAATGTTTCGGACGCGGGAATATAGCATTAGGTTGGCTATCTTCAGGTAAAACACGTTAATGAATGAAATTTTTCTAAGAGAGTTTTAAACGATTAAAAATATTTAATAATTTTTACGATGTCCTTAGTATCAGCAGGGTTAACAACAATATGTCAATATACAATAAGATAGATTTTGATACATTTTATGACTACTTTTATATCATATGGGAGATCGATCAAAACTCCTTTTTTACACAGCTAAAAGATTGGCAGACTGCAGACTTTGAATGTAATGCTCACAGATTCGTAGTGATTTCAGGGTAGTGTTTGATGCTAGAAAGCCTCAATATCTCTAGTATTGAGATTATAAAATTGGTTTACAGAAAATGTATTTTACACCACTTGCACCCTTGAGAGGTTATAGAGATACTAGTTAAAGTTCGGCAAAGCCGAATTAATCAAAAGAAAAAGCTTGAGGCAAAAATTAATTATGTGAGGTTTTCACGACTTCCTGCAAACCATGTTGTCTTATTATAAATATTTATTTAATACTGTAATGTCTCTGAATACAACACTATAAGAGTAGAAAATAGGTGTCAACCCCCCAAGGTATTGTGATCTTTTGGTATACAATTAACTAGGATGAACATATCAACATGATTAGAAACAGTACACTTATTTACACATACACCTTAGGAAAAACCATTTTTATACATGGGAAATCATTTCTTGGCAACAGCGCATCGGCTCGTCTACTTTCATCGCTATTCGTACATATTTCCTATCGTTAACGCGCGTGCCGTTGTCAAGTGCGATAAGGGATTCATGACTCACTATGCGGTTGGGTTTTGTGTAGAAAAGGTGCATCTTTATTTAATCCAAAATATCTTGAAAATGTACTCGCAAGAAGAAAAGTTTCAAATGATAGAATGGTACATCCAGAATAATTCAGCACGCGCGGTTGTTGAATTATTTGCGGTACGCTTCCCAGATCGGCCAATTCCGTCTCACGCAACGGTTATAAATACCTACGAAAAATTCAAGAGAGTGGGCTGCTTACATAAGTGCCATATCTGCATGCACCCTGAAGGTTGGAAACCAAAAATTAGCGAGAAAAGGGAGGAGATCGAAACTGCTGTTTGAGCCGCTGCAGAAGTATCTGAGCCATGCTCAAGCAGAAAAATTGCTGAAATGGTACCAATAGCCGATCTCACACCCAGAACAACAAGAAATATTTTGCATCGCAACGGCTATCATAGCTTCAAGGTTGGAACGGTTCAAGAAATATTTCCTTTAGACAAATACCGTCGAATGGAGTTTTGTGAAACGGTCATGGAGAAGGCGAACAGGGATGGAAGTTTTATTGGTAACATTTTGTTTAGTGATGAATCCACATTCCCTCTCCACGGCCATCACAATCCTTCAGTCGTTCGGTATTGGTCTCGGGAAAATAAACACCTCAGTATTCCCGTCCGCACGCAGTATCCACAGAAACTGAATGTGTGGGCAGGAATTCTAGGTAATAACATTATCGGACCGTTCTTTATTGATGGAACTCTTACGGCTGCAAAATATTTGGCGTTACTACAGACGCAGATTGTTCATGCAATTAGGCAGCTTGGCATTGATCTCGCTAATATTTGGTTCCAAGATGGATGCCCGGCGCATAATGCGGCGATCGTACACACTTACCTTGAAAGTGTGTTCGGCTACCGGATTATTGGCGGTAACGGAACAATAAAATGGCCTCCTAGATCACCCGATCTAGCGCCCAATGATTTTTTCTTGTGGGGTTATGTGAAAAGTACTGTTTACACTTTCAATGAGAGAGCAGACAATTTGCATAACCTACAGGTGAAAATCGTTGAAGCGCTCGGGCAAATACAGCCTTCTACCATCTTGAGAGTTCGTCAGGAGTTTTATAACCGCCTGACATACTGTTCATTGCACGAAGGAGACGTTTTTGAGCCCCAGCTGTGAAGGACCATTTGAAACATTTGTGTTCATTATTGCGTTTTATTTTTGAGAACTTATTTTTTTGTTAGAATATCTTTTTATTTTCGTTACACATTTTTAAGAGTGTACTATTTTTTGTTAGAGTGGGTATCTTCTTATTTTTGTTATGAGACGCAACCTTTATTGCTACAAAACCAATTATCAATTCATAAAAATAAGTAGAGTGATTTAGGTGATTTCGTGAAATCTCGAAATCACCGAAATCGTTTCACAGGACGTCAAATCGAACTGGTGCGTAATGCGCGCATCTACTGTACTTCTTCTATCGACTCAACGCATACTGAAATTTGCAGCAGACCGCAGACCTGTATCACGAATGAGAATAATAGGCAGATACGCTGTGTTGCCAATTTGAGTAGAGCTTCCCGAATTGTGGGGAATTTAGAGTTAAGTGTTGATTCATTCAAGCTTTTAATCAGCATGGCCTAGACGTTAGAACTTCATAAAGATAACATTGAAGCTGAATGCTGCTGGAGTATAGTGTTTCGAATATTCAAAGCGGAGCGGGACACTATCCTCGTTCAATGGGTCATTGACAGTCTTTTCAACAAAGAAATTATTTACGAAAATGCGTTATATTTTTACGATTTTGTCGTCACCAAATCTCTGTTTCTCAAAATGTACGTCTATTGTAGAATTTTCAGCAAACTAAGCAAGAAACGTGATCTAGTATTTACTCAACATTACGGATTTCTCGAAATACATTAAAAAATGTGACCTAGATACCTAACTGCCCCAAGCTCTTTAAATATAACACATTAAACCAGGGTTACCAGGTGCTCAGTCACGTTGATTGTCATGTTGTACTGCGCAAGTCAGCAAACAATCTGGCGTAATAAACGTTAGGAATCATCAGGTATTGCCAGATTCCCGAATACCGGGCACCATAGTACCCGTTATAGTTGTCAAATCGCCGCTATGGCGCAAATTCGCCACACCACGCAACTGTGCTATAAACAAACCCTGTTTATCACTACTATTTGATAGTCATATGGTAGTTGTAGCCCTATCTAGCGGTCCATGATTTCTCTCAATACTGTTGTATCTCTACTGGCAACAAGAATAGGGATTACAAAATCATTTATACAACAATATACAGACATGAAAAATATGATTTGAACCATAAAACATTAATACAATTTTAATAGTTTGAACTTTTTTCATTTTTGGAATACTCTTATGTGGAATCCGCAGCTATTTTTCCCTAAATTTGGGTAGACTTAGATTTCTTAGAAATATGACAACTCTGCGAATGGGAGAAACAAATCGCATTTGTTGAGCGCATCCGTCTAAGCGGCAGGCGCCAGCGCCCGTTCTGCCATCTCTCTTTTATCACTCTTCTACTTTACCCCGTTGTCCGTCACACTCCGACGCTGCCAGATAGGATCCTACAATCGAGTGTCTTTCACGCACCTACATACTTTTGTATATTTCCATCTCTCTTCCTCATCATAATGTATAATAATGTTTTTTCCCAAGGTGTATATGACGATTGTGTCGAGTCAAAAATTGACTTCCGGCATTTCCTATACACATATATCAATATGATTGCTTTCCGAAAATAACAGATTTTATCTTTACCAATGAAGAGATCCTCAACGACAGAGCGTGGCGTCAATTTGTGTGAGCGATGGAGCGATCAGCTTCAACTTTCTTCTGTACATCGGATCTTCGGCCACCGGGTTCTTCTCCAGATACACTGTTGCCAAGGTCTTCACTGCCGAGAGGCACTCGACAGTGTTCCAGTCGGAGATCTCGTTGTTATTTATCTGAAAAAAAAATAAATAAAAGCATAGACAAATGGGACTCGATATTCCACTGTGAACTTAAAAACTTTCTAATATTTGAACCATATACCCCATCCTCATGTAGTTTTGTTATAGCTTAAAGTTAACTCTTATCCACTTAATACAGTAACTTTGCATTTTATATGGTAATATTTCAAAATTACTTCTTACCCAAAACTCTTGTAGTTTCTCCAAATGTGAGATGTTCTCTATTGCTTTAATTTTATTCTGAGCCAAGTCCAGTGTCTCCAGTTTCGTATTTCCATCTAAATTCTCAATTTTTTCAATACCATTTTCCGACAAATACAGCTCAGTCAGTTCTTTCAGATTGTTCAAATTCTCGATTTTGGTAAGCCTATTACTTTGTAAGCTTAGGCAAGTTAAGCTAGTTAAGGTGTCCACATTACTGATTTCAGTTATTTTATTTTTGCCTAGATACAGGTACTGCAGATTTTTCAGGCCATCTAGGTTTTCAATTTGCTGCAATATATTTAAATAATTAGAAAACTTTATATAGCTGTAATGGAGCATCTAAATAAGCAATATTTGTTGCCTAGCCATATACAGTAGCGGACAAAAATTTGGAAACATTCTTAGTAATTTTTAAAAAGTGCGCTAGTTTTTTATTCTTTATTATTAAGGAATCTTTTTTCTCATATAGTTTGCTTACAGTCTTGAAGATACAAATGACAGTTTGTGTTTGCTGTTGTACTACGGACTAGCATTAAAATACATACCTTCATATTATTTTATAACCAAAAATGAAATGACAAAAGTATGGAAACATATTTTTCATTACAAATTTAAATACAATAACTCTTCAAAAAGATTTAATAAATACTGTTTAGCTAATATTTAGTAACATAGCCTTTAGCATTCAACACTGCCTGACATCTGCTGCTCATAGAAGACACCAATTTTTTACAAACGTCTGTTGGGATATTTTGCCAAATAAATCGTTCCTATTTTTAAAAGTTTTTCTTGTCAGTTGTCTATTAACATGCTCTCTGAGATTTTCTATAGGGTTTAGGTCCGCGGATTTCGAAGGCCATGTAAAAACATTAAATTTTTTAGTCTTTACCAGTCCTTTACGAATTTTGAAGTATACTTGTGCGTCATTATCTTGCTGGAATGTCCATTATAAAGGCATTTCTTCTTCAGCAAAAGGGAGCATGTGTTCACTAAGAATATCTTTGTAAAGTTTTTGATACATTTTCCTAATCATTTTAACAATTAGACCCGTCCCAGAACTAGAAAAACAGCCTCAAACCATGATATTGCCTCCACCGTACTTAACTGTTGGCAACTGATACTTTTTGTAGAATCTTTTTCGCATTGGACGTCTCACATGTGCCGTACCGTCAGATCCAAACAAGTTAAATTTGCTGTCATCGCTCCATAAAACTGTATTCCATTGTTGTTATGTCCAAGTTAGACGAGTTTTAGCGAATTAAAGACCAGCAATACGATTTTTTTTAAATGAGAGACTTTTGCACCAATAAGCCCAAGATCCACCAAGCGTTCTGACAGAAAGATTCTCGGCACCCTCTTCTACGATTCTTTTGAAAATCTGTGTGGCTGGCATTTGAGGATCTTCATGGGACAAACGTTTAATGTATGATCCAAAACATAATCGTTTTTTTCGGTCTTCTGCACATGAGCCGCGTTGCTGTTGATCCATATTCTTGATATTTACTTAATTTTCGAACTCGTCCCTTTGTATAATTTTAATCTTTGAAAAATGTCAACATTTCTGACACCACTTCTGAATAATTCAGTTACTTTGTCTCTTAAATCTTTGCCAGTCTCACTGATGTTAATATTTACTGCACGCAATATCAGAGTATGGCAGAACGAACAAATACACCAAAACTGTTTCCATACTTTTGTCCTTACAAAAACTGTGGTATTTAAAAAAACGTGTTTTTTTTTCAGAGAATTTGAATATTGATAAGATAAACCTGGTATTAGTACAGCAGCCAAAGATAGACTTTAATATTTATATTATCTGTTGTTCCTTCACAATTTTAATTTAGGTATATGAAATAGTTCATATAATATTAATATTTGTTTCCAAACTTTTGTCCGCTACTGTATCTCAGTTTATCAGCTATGTCTTGCCTATATCTTAGCAATATTATCTGCAATATGTAGACACATACATAGTCAAATTTTAGGCAACTTGGCAGCTTACATTACTTACACCAATAGGATTCAAATAATTTGGTGACATGTTAGCACAACATGAAAATAGGTAAAAAATATCAAAAATTAAGGTTGGCTAGAAAAATATTGCCTGTTTAGTAATGTCATAACAAAGATTCTCAGTTTCATATTGATAGCTGTTGATCTTTCTTACCCTCAATTTATTATCTCCAAGTTCTAGAAGCTCCAAATTCTCAAGATGGTTCAAATTCTCTATTTTAGTAAATTTGTTTGAGGATAAGAATATTCTTTTTAATTTTTTCAGATTCTCCAAACCCTCAATATGCCTTATTCGGTTGAATGATAGGTCAAGAATCCTGAAAATGTATCCATATTAGCTAATGTCAACAAAATAGTAATAAAAAATATTTACTCAAGATTGACAAGTGCATCCAAATTCTCTATCTTAGTCAGCTGGTTATCATACAACTCCAACTCTTTCAATGTCACTAGAGTATCCAAGTTTTCAATCTTTGTGATCAAATTCCATCTCAAATACAATCGCTCAATACAAGTTAATGGTTCCAGATTTTGTATTTTTCTGATACGACCATGGTTCAAGTCTAGCTCTGTACAATCTGGGTCTATTATGACAATCTCATTCGAACTCTCACCACTTTCAGCTTCTGCATTCTGATCTCCATTTGCATCAGATTGCTCCTCTTCACAGTCTTCTGCATCTACAGAACTTGCTGCTGAAACTGGATAATAGAATGAAGTAACATTTTACATATAACATTTTTTGTAACCGTTATGAAGTACATAGTAAGAGAGCATTAAGCTCTTGTCATCTTCCAGCCAATGGTGCCATTAAGGCAGTAACAAAGCAATGTTAAAGTGGGAACTGCCTGTTTGGATTCTCAAATGAATGAAAACAATTATGGTTATTTATTTCAAGATGTTGTCACAGCTCAGCTACCCCCTTAACACTCAAGTGAAGGAGTACAAAAGGCGATGTGTGAAGTTTTGGCTCTAAAAAGGAAATACTCAACTGGAAATTTGATATACAGTTCAATTGATGTATTTCTAGAGAAACATAACTAGAAGTTTGTGGGCCGTTTTAAAACAAACTTCAACCGATTTTCGAATGAAAACTGAAATTCTCAATGAGAATGTTATGATACTTCAAGACAAATATCCAAATATTCCACTCCGATGTTTACTTTATTTCTTAATTTAAATTTTATAGGTTAAAAAATCACTTACCTGGCAAGTCCTCAACTGTAGGTTCTCCTGCCCCACTTGGTACCGGCATGTTTGAGCCCTCCAGATTTTTTTTAACTATATCTTGTATCACTGAAATATGCAAACTTTTATCACACTTTTATCTTCTAGAAAAAATGATTTTTGGTAAAAACTCGATGGTAAAAACATACACATACGGGATCACCACATCACCACCCACCTTCGCACCTCCTATGTGCGGCGATGCGAAATCTGCCTTTACTTCTTTAAAGATGCTACAACGCATAAAACATGAAATCGGTAATTTAGTTATGAATATGAAAATATAGGCCGAGATTAGTGGATATGCTTTAGGAATCATAACAAATGTAATGTCTAACATCTATATTTATGTGATGTGTGATGGAGAATGTAACAAGAGAAACAAATCCGCTGAAAAATAAATAATTTATACACGTGGATCGAACGACCGACGATACCATTGATTTTTAACAGTCGATGAAACTTGAAAGCCTAAAAGGGAGGATGGAAAGGATGTGGAAATTCTCATCGACCCAATATTATTTTTTATTCACGTTCCTTGACCCTTTGTTATGAACTGAGCTTATCGGTCTACCCTCGTACACCGATTTCTCCCATTTTGGAGACACGACTCAACATATGACAAACGCTCAACTGTCAGTCTGACTTTTTCTTTGGTACAACCCGCGAAATTCAACTGCCGTTTTCCGAGCTGGGCCTGTTTTTCGCCATAAAGAAATAATCTGACGGAAAAATCGTCTCTAGAAAAAGCAGTTTGTCATAAAAATGTTTTCATAAGCAGGAAATAGTGGCGTTTCTTATATTAGTTCCATAAAGTAAGGAGAATTGACAGTTCTTTTAAGTTTCCCGCTGCAGATGGCAGCGCTGTAGATATCCTTTGAATACAATCCGAACCGTTTATTTTGGTGCGCGCATGCCCTTAGCATCTCTTTCGGATTAGTTTCCATCTTGATCACATGTGAGTATTTTATTTTTCTGTAGAATAATCAATAAATACAATCAAAACGTTAGTGTTGTGTAGTGGAAATTCGCCGAAGAAAACCATCCAGGATTTATAGTCTACAGTGCGTGACTCCTGTGTACTTTTTACGGTACAATTATTTTGACAGTGCATGATTGGATATATGTGTTCGCGCCATGTTGCATTAGATTATCCAGAAATTCCGGAAAATCTCTGAAATTATAGAATTTCCGGGAGCTCCAGAACTCCGCAAACCACTTCACTACAAGTTCATTCAAAACACTATGAAAAATGCCCTCATTTCTTTCGTAATAGGTTGACAAACGGCGTGTGTCTGAACCACATGTTCCGCTGCCGCGTGTACACTAGAAAAGCCCCCGTTACGCCCCACTGATAGTGCCCCTTTCTGTTCCAGCTTGCAAGGTAACTTTTAATAAGGAACCTACCACAATGGGCGACATTGATGACTCACACTTCGAAACTGGAGACTCTGGGGCCTCCGCAACTTACCCCATGCAATGTTCGGCCCTTCGTAAGAACGGTTTCGTTATGTTAAAAGGTAGACCATGCAAGATTGTTGAGATGTCCACATCCAAAACTGGAAAACATGGACATGCTAAGGTTCACTTGGTGGGCATCGATATATTTTCAGGTTAGTCTAAGCTTTTGTGTCTCAAAACTTATTCACTACTTAAGGCTGCCTATGCAGATCTTCAGTTACTAATTAATAACTAGAAATAATGCTTATTTTAATTTAAAAACCAATTCTCTGCATTGCAGATTGTCATTGACCTCTTCATTTGCTGTATTCAGTAGAGCCTGTCATTGCTAAGTTTATTAATTTATTCAAAAATATATGAACAATCATAATCAATACCAGAGTATTTCAACATTTCAATGACCACGATCATAAAATCACACTACTATAAACAGAGTGGTACTTTTGTTTAGTTGAAATGGTTTGATAATCATAATCATAGAAATGTGAATTTCTTAAGCATTTTTTGAGTAAGGCACTTTGTACATTTATCCTTTTAGTTTTAGTTGTATAATACCCCAGCAAAGCAAATTTTGTTACAGTTAACTGATTAAAGAAAGCATCTCTTAGTTGCAGTTTAAATATAACATTAAAAGCTTTTTTTATTTGTGTATAGGAAACCTGATATAAGGAGCACACACAGCAATCTATAGCCCTCAATTTCGCATCTATGTTGAAATTTTAAGGGTTAAAGGTTAATAACCTCAAGGTTACTATAGTTCTGATTAAAATTCTGATTATATAAATTTATAAAAATGATTTAATATTTGTAATTATAACTGTGATTATGGTTGTTCATTCATAATTAACAATTTTGACAACTTTGCTTTACAGCATCCTGTTTCTTTGTGTCTGATAATTGTATAGATAGATCCCTCATGTGGACAACCATAGAATAAGTAACAAATGTTCTATTATTCTATATTATAGCTGGCCATAGAAGTAAAAGTATTTGCTGGGTACCAATTTGACTTCATCTTAGGTTGAGGGCATGTCATTGACTTTATCACAGATAACGTTCAATGATTGGCGTGTGTTTATTTTTATAATGTCAGATTTTAAATGTAAATGTAGCATGATTTATATTATTATTTTTTTTTATGGCAGGCTCACTTTCTTTCTGAGCTGAACACTATAATATGAATCACTATTGTGACCTCTGAAAGGAAATCATTATTTTCTTATGCATCTGACAGCTAATCTGCATCTAAGGAGATTTTGAAGATTATCTGCTAAAAATTGACAATGCAATGATCCATTATTTCACATGTCAGATAATACTCAAACTGTTTACACACTTTGAAGCAACCTCTTTTCATACAATAAAGTGTGTTTTATTAATTATTCACTCTGCAAAAGTAGGACCATTGCATTTCTTTTAAATTTAACTTGTGTTATTTCATCTTGATAGTTTTGACAATCTTATACTAAATGTCATTTAAAATTATTATTAAATTATATTATTTCCAACTAAATGAAGCTATTTGAAATTCAAAAATCATCTCTTTTTTAGGCAAAAAATATGAAGATATATGCCCATCCACACACAACATGGATGTACCACATGTAAAACGTGAGGACTATCAGCTGACTGACATTTCAGATGATGGCTACTTATCTCTAATGTCAGACAATGGTGATTTACGTGAGGACCTCAAAGTCCCTGAAGGCGAGTTGGGTACCCAACTCAGAGCTGACTATGACGCTGGCAAAGATATCTTATGCACTGTACTGAAATCTTGTGGTGAAGAGGTAAGGAGAGATGCAAAACAAAATGTAATGGGTGTCCCCTCAATAGATGTATTGAAATTTGAATTTAGCACTATTTTTCAATGACCTGACCTAGAAATTTTATCGTGCGTACTTGTCATTTCAAGCCTTGTCTGAGTTTTACCTAGGATGGGGTTTGATTGTGGTCAGTAGGTTCTTGTGATGTCAATACCACTTTGTGACTGGCTACTGGTAGGTTCAGAATTGTTTTGTACCAGTACTCTGTAGAACACAAAAAAGCTTTTGATATCCAGCAAATTAAAAATTAATTAGGCTTCAGGTGTAAAGGCTTTTCAAACAACTCGCATGTCATGGATGACCTGGTATTTTATGTTGGAAAATAGAGTTGCAGTTGTGCCAAAATGAGAAATGGTTTCTGCAGAAACAGTTGAGGGGTTATTTTGTGAATATTATTTATAAAACGCCATAGCAGGTCATTTTTTCAAAATGGTTTGTTTGATTTAGAAACTAAATCCTCAAGTATTTATTTAGACATCCTTTAGTTGCCAGAAATGTTAAAATACTTTTTTCAATTGTAAAATAACTATCTGCCTAAGCATTCAGTGATACATTGAACATTGCACACCTTTGACAAATATGAGTGTCAATAACAATAAGTGATGGTGTTTATAATATTTATGGTTATTTTATTAATTTTAAGATGACAAAATAAAGCTATGAGAATCATCTTAAATAAAAATAAATATACTAGATACATTTTATGCTGAAAGGTTAAATACCAAAAATTTCATAACCTACTTGGTTTTACATTTTCATATTGAAGTTAAAAAATCATCTACCAAATCACTTAGACTATCTTATTGTATTGAGCAATAAGTATCACAGTTATTCTACTAGAGGGAGTATAGAGTTATACAAAATTGCAGTAGCAATATAACGAGCAAGTCAGTATTTCATAAGGAATTGTACAAATTTAATAAATTAAGTAATGATATTAAGATGTATGCCAGTTTGAAAATGTTCAACGGGAAATTGAAAAAATATTTCATGGAAAAACAGAACTCATAGTAGTGAATATATGGATATTGTAGCATCAATGCTAATTAAATCTAAAACAAACAATATTAAATAGTGAGCAATGTCCAATGTAACTATCCTTATTATACAACAACAGTTATGATTAAATATTACATTGTCTAATGAAGGAATGTATTTTGCCATTGGCCCATTTCTCTATCTAGATGATTCCAATTGTAAATCACTAAACCTGTAAATGTCTTACTTCAACTGCTGATTTAGTTACTTTCCTCTAAACTGTTTCAAGTTTCTCTATGTCTTTTGCATAATTGGGACTTCATATACCTTTAGCATATTCAAGTATGGTCTTATGGCTTAAGTTACTGCTTGTAAATGCCAGGGATACAAAATGAAAAGCTTTTAATCATGTTCTTACATTTGACATAGTGGAGCATTGAATTTTATAGTTGCACCTTCATTGAAGAAAAGGGAAAAGACCTAGGCGCGCGATAATGGTCATGTTTACAGTGTGGGTTGCTGTTTACAGTGTGGGTTGCTAAGTGCAGCTCACTTAGAGTGCCTCCTAATCTAAACCTTAAATGCAACAGCAATGACCCTGCTTATTTTGTAAACACTACTGCTAGTCTAAGACCTTGTTTAGCACACAGTCCACAGGGTAAATTAACTAGTCTTGCCTCATTTCTTAGGGCTGTATCATCAGTCTTCTTAATTGTAGGGCGCCTCTATGACCTTGATTTTCATAGTATTTTCCCTCCTTCAGAAAGTCTGGGGTAGTTCTAGATTTCTACTGTTCTGTGTCAGTGCTCTCTTGTTGTGAGGCTATGTTTCCTTTTTGAATTGCAGGAAATTTCAGGCAGATATAACAGATGATATAAATCAAAAGCATGAACAATTTGATGCAAATAGATATTTGTAACATACCTCAAAATAGAGCACTGATGTGGAACAGTAGAAAACTATGAAGATCAAGGCGGACATAAAGGCGTCCTACAATTGTAGGAACGACTGACGATACGACCTCTACTCTGTAGTAATGTTAATGCACAGAGTATCACAGTCCTTTGGTGTAAATGTGGCCATTGTATCTTGGCAATGCCTGTCACATGTCATCTTTTTCTTACTTCATTGTCAATTGACATTTCGCCCTACACAAATCCCTCCTTCCCATCAGTGAACGTGCACCTTAAGGGTTCTCAGCCATGTCCAACAGATGGTTTTCAGTCCATAATTTTGATAGGTAGATTAAACCAGATTTCAATAAATTTGGAGCAGTTTACTGTGCATCTATTGATTTTTTTTTTAATAATATCTTGAATTTATGACTAACAATTGTTTTCCTGTGTTCTAGGTGGTGATTGCAGTAAAGACAAATACTGCATTGGACAAATAATGGCCGGGTATAATGGTGGGGACCATAAAGTTGAAGAATAATAATAAAAATAATAAATCTATTTGTCAGTGTCCATTGGGTTCCCACTTTCATATTGTACGACTATATACTTGTATTGGACCACCTTGTCAGTTATCAACAGCTTACCTACGCGTGATGCCACACCATGCAGAAAGATGTTGTGGTACATATAAAATAATATTTTACATCTTCTCTGTCATTATTGTTGGCTGAAATTTGATGCAAAAGCTACAATTTGTTCAATAAAATCTAATTTAATTTTATCTCGCTGTATGTAAATTTCCTTTGGATCTTTTATAATGACCGTCTTTTTTAGAACCACCTTATTCTAGATCACTATTATCAACAGACTTTGTATATTTGTATGAATGAGTTTTGTTTCCATTAATATTTAATATTATTAATGATATAATTAGGAATTTGGTGATTCTAGATACTTGTTGACTTTACTTTTGAACTAAATAAACTTAGCATTTTTTAAAGACTTGTTTTGATATTGTTTAGACTAAGTTTTTTTAAATGAAAAGATCAATAAGACAAACTTTGCAGTTTGCCAATAATTTTTATTGGAATTGGTTAAATATAAAATGAGGATATCATTAGACTTTCATTGCTCAACCTAAAGCTTGATACATTTAGTTCTAATCGCATGGTTTAAGTAAATGATGAACCTAGCGTATATAAAGGTGTGTAAAAAGGACATTTGAGGAAAAACAGACGCAAAGGCAGCAGTTTAGTATGAGGGTTCAAAAGACCGTGCCGAAGTTTCGCACAAAGTATAGACAGTGACGATCTTTGTTTTTGTCAATTGCTAGAATTTCTCGCATGCCACCCGTAAAAGGTAGATACGGCAACCCTGCTGGTTCCAAGCGTACCAACCCCACCTAGGTCAACAAAAATGTCAAAGTTACCCTAACCTAATTTTAAGAAGTAAATAAAATAATGATATATAAATAATTACTATATATACTTAAAAAGTAAACCTAGAATACAATTATACTCAAACCGCTTCAATGAATATGTACTCGGCAATGTTTTGCCACAGCATTTTTGCGTCAGACGACCCTAATAACGTACCAGAAATAAAGAGGGAGGACATGAGGACAGACCTACAAGAAGATCCTTATCCCTATACTCCCAATCACATACCCAATGAAACCTACAATGTTCCTTTAAAGGTAGAAGTTGTATTAACCTTGAAATTTGCAACCCTTCATGTCCTGTAACTTTCAGGAAAAGCCTGTAGCAGAGGAGCCCCGAACTGAACCAAAGACAGCTAAGCAACAAAAATGTAATATATGCGGTAAAATATTATCGTCAGCCTCAAGTTATTATGTACACTTAAAGCAGCATTCTAATAATAAACCTTATCAGTGCAATCATTGTGAGGCATCCTTTTGCAGAAAACCATATCTAGAAGTGAGTATCATAAATGCCAAAACAAAATTGCCAGGTAAACGAAGTTAGAAGTGTTGTCTTTTATGTTCAATATAACATCCAAGTATCATGAGTCTCAAAACACACAGCTCTGTTTTGAGGCAACTGTTCTTTTTGCTAACTAGCTTCCATGCATCAATCTTTAAGGTGTTATTAGATAAATATAGTGCAAGGTACAGGCCTTACAATTCCAAGTCTGACACCATGTTTAATTGTACCTACTAAGTATTGTTTTGAGTTTTCTCTAGCAGAGTTCAAACCTGTTGATAAAAACGTTAATTTGGTAGGAAAGAGCACTAAAAAATGTTTTCTTCCAAATAGTACATACTGATTAGAAACATCCTCAGTGATATTGTGAGCACGATTTGGCATTTTCACAGCTTGACAGTCGCAATGTTGTGGTATGTCAAAGCCCATTTTGGGTATCAGAGATCTTTCAGAATGGTAACATTTCTTAAGCCTGTAACAGTAACTGCGGCCAAGCAGTCAGGCGGTGCCAATGCATTTGGCACGTTAGTTTATATGTTCTCTGATATTGAGAAAAAAATCAAAGGGTAAGCTGGGATATCACCCGGAAGCTTTCGCACTGCAAGCTGTGACGATGCTGACAGAGGCTTCCCCTGTCGGAGAAATTTTATCAGTGACTATTGGCAGGGATAAATTACTTACAAAATAGCATCACTACAGATTTAAAGAATCTGTATTCAAAATTGTACAAAACTACTTGATTGACAAAAGTCAAAAAACCAAAGTTGGATCTACATTATCAAGGTCAAAAAATTTCTGTTGGTGTACCACAAGGTGGTGAACTAGGTCCACATTTATTTTATACACTAATGGCATTTGTAATGTTTTAGACTATCGTAAAATTCAGATATTTGCAGATGATACATAAATACAGGGTGTCCGCAAAGTTGGGGTTTTCCTTTACACGACGTATAGATCTTGAAAACATAAGCAATTTTTCTTAGTACCATATACACCAATGTCTTAAGGGAACCGAGATAAAGGGCTCTGCAACATCAAAAATATCTGAATACCGTCCTGTAGCCGCGACATCCCCGAGTGGTACTAGGACACTAGCTCAACCCGACGACAGAACTGGGTCGGGGTCAGTGTGTCAGGTCAGTATGCAACCTTCAACCGACGGTTACGGTCACGCGTGTAGAGGTAATCGCGTAGACGAGAATCCCTCAACAAGCACTAGAGACGTGGCTAGAGAAGTTCAAGCCCTTCAACCTGACGATATTCCAGCAAGAGTGCGGTTTTGTGAGTGGTTGTTGCATCAACATGACAATAATCCGGACTTTTTGAAGTGCATATTGGTGACAGACGAATCTACGTTCACGCGTAATGGGGTGAATAACTTTCGCAACACTCATGTTTGGTCAGTAGAAAATCCGCACGCTGTCCGTCGGGCACATTTTCAACAAACATTTTCGGTGAATGTTTGGGCTGGCATGGTGAACGGTATGCTCATTGGACCATTTATTCTCCCAAATCGATTGGACGGGATGCAATACCTAGACTTTTTACGCAACATTTTGCCTTCCTTGTTTGCCTGCGTCTGTTCGGTAGCGCATCAGCTGATTTCATTTTCTGTTGGAGCGGTATGATTTCGGGCAGAGACGTACTTAGCCCTTTTCGTCAACTGGAGAGTGAGTACTTTTTCCTTTATTTTTTTTTAAATGGTCGCCCACGTTTCACTACACATTACCTTTGTTATTTCAAGGGTAGTTGTTTCTGAAAAGGAAAACCCCAACTTTGCGGACACCCTGTATACATATCAGATGAAAATATAGACACTGCTTTAAAAATGCTCAATTCATTATCGTGTTTACTGCCAATGAAGCTGTATTCTCAAAATTACAAGTCCTACAAAATAAAGCTATGAGAATAATATTGAATAAAAGTAAATACACCAAAATAAAATCTATGTTACAAGAATTGCAGTGGTTGAATATAAAAAATTTCATATTTTATTTGGTTCTTATTTCTATATTTAAAATAAAAAATCATCTTTTGTCACAACATTTAGAACACTACATAGAACTGAATAATCATTACCACAATTATTAAACAAGAGGAAATATAGATTTTCATTTACAAAATTGCAATAGTAACATAACTAGCAAATCAATATTTCAGAAAGGATTACTTGAATTTAATGAACTTAATAATGATATAAATTCTACTTGTAATTTAAAGATGTTTAATAAAAAATGAAGGTACATTTATTGGGCAGTGAAAATTCTTAGAGATGCAAATTTTGTTTTTTCTAAATATCTGGATGTTATTTTATTGTTTAGTTTAAAATGAATGTAATTGTAGCAAACATACTAAATAAATCTTAAACAAAAAAAAACAAACATTACCGTGGGGAATTCGTTTTTCATGCTCTTCCATACCGTTTTCCGGTATGCTGTATCCTTACCTGTACAACATGTTTGCAGGTGCACATGCGAACGCATACTGGCGAGCGACCTTTCGAATGCGAAATTTGCAAGAAACGCTTTACGCAAAAATCAAGTTTGAACACGCACAAGCGTAGCCATACGGGCCTCAGGCCATACGCGTGTCCTGTTTGCCTCAAGCGGTTCTCAGTCAAGTCATACCTGAACGCCCACCAGTGGATCCATGCCGCGGATAACGGTATCAGATGCGCCACCTGCCATATGGCCTTCAACAATAAGAGCCAATACCTAGAGCACCTCAGGTATGAAATAACATTTTTCAAATGTCTTCTTTTTCCGATACATTAGACAATCAGCTTTGACCTAGCGCACATTGGGGGACGGCGGAAGACATCATAGAGAATTTTCTTGACCATGCTCACTGATGAGAGAAATCTCTCGCGATACTTTCGACGTCTCGACTGTTTATCACAGAATTTAATAGTTTGGATGTCGATACCTGCCACGATATCCCACAGCATGTAGAGTATCCGATGCCGAGGTATCTTTGTTGAGGTGTCACGTAGCATGATGTGATATACCGCGGCATTCTAACTATGTCTATAAATGCTGTAATAAGCTGTCAAGATGCCGACGGATACTCTCGGTATGGTCGGAATTTTTTCTCATCAGGGAAGGCTGCCGGAAGTAAAAGCTTACTCAGTACTCTGCCCCACCGTCACCCATTGTGCATTAGCCCTAACCTCACGTCCAACAGGTTATGGGCCCAGGACAAATAACACTGTTTTCTACATACCCTATTTCACGAGTATCCATTATATTTTGACGTCTACTGAGGTGAGCAGCTGATCAGCAAGTGACATCTTGGTATTAGTTCGTAACGTTGGCAATAATGAATCGGGTGTAAATGTATTAAAACTCAGGACCGTATTCATTTTTTATGCGAAGGTACTTTTCTAAGTAAAATAGTTTTTAGCAAGTACAAAATAAATCCGTAGTATACAACAAAGTACGGCTTAGTCTACCTGGCGTTGATGGAGCCGTGAGAATTATATGCCACTTGTCAATATGGGGAATTTTGAAGTATTACTAGACAATCAGCTGTTATCAGAGTTGTCGAACCTACCGATTTTTCTGTATTTCTACCGAAATGAAACATTTACCGAAAACGTCCTCATTTTCCCCGATTTGTTAAAATAATTCAGATTCGTTATCGAATAAGAACTAGAACCAAAAACGAAGCGGAAAAAATGATGTCGTACCCTATGTAGTTTTATCCTCCATATCAATCATATGGATATGTACTAAGGCAGCTGGGCACATGAGGGATGTAGATTTGGGTTGCCTCTAATTATGTACGCACATCCTTTACTCTGCTTTCGCTGTATTGGTTTTTGTGCGTATAATAAGTAGAAACTATTATATCACTATCATTACAGCATCTCGGGATAATCAATAAGGAAACCAAAGCTCGTCTGTTTTTAATTAAATATTAAATTAAAATGTCTTGTGATGAGGATTTAAGTTCAGGGGTAAAATAGACAAGTATGCACAATGTTATAATAAATAAAAATAGGAAAAGGACTTTCCAACGGTTTGAAGAGCGCCTAGTACCCATACTTATTGCTCAATTTATAATAAAGAAGTCAATATTTTTCCAGGAAAGGATGCTCACACAAAACCGCATGGGTATCACGTATCTTGAAAAGTGACATTATGCCGATTTTTTTGACATTATGTAGGTTTTTCTATAAGATGTTAACTTAACACTCAGTTGTACGTGTTGCCTAAATGTCATGAGGCTTATTATCAATCTTTGAGTCTGATGTGATTGGTTTCTTGTCTCAAATACACTTAATTGAGATTCAAAGCTAGAAATTAGTTGCGCATCCACTTTTTCTTATCCATTCTGGAAATTACATATACAAATTTGCTGAATTTAAAAAATGCGAGAGGTAAGAAATAATTATATTCACTGTACACTGTGGAATTACAAGCCATATATGCTAACAGTAATTACACACAAGGCGGGCGCGGTGATGATTTTCCGTAACCTTCATTTTTCCTTATTTATAACATAGCACAACATAAAAATAACCCGTCGGGCATGGCCAATAGATATACTTCATTCGCAGCATATTCAGTAATGATCTTCTCACACAGCAGATACACATGCAGACCAATACACATAATCATCCAGATGCTATTGCTATTAACCAACTTTCTTCTCAGAGATAAAAACTACAGACAAGGACCATCTGGCCTCACAAAACGTATGCAACCAATAATGCGTGTATTTTAGTTGACAGGTGCCTCCTTAGATGGACATTCACAACGATCCTAGTGAGCAAACGTGGAATGACTGTTTGCGCCGTAAAAACTACCTAATTACAAGATGACATCTTATAGGTTTTTTTGACGTTTTATAGGTTTTTTACATGATACCCGTGGTGTTGTGTATGCAAGTGCAATTAAAAGTATCCTTTTTTCATAGACGGCGCTGCGTGATGCAAAGGCCCTTGATCCACTGCTGATTTTGCGACGGCCTTGATTTCTTCCTCCTACCGATTTTGTCCTTGAATTTACCGAATTTCAACAACATAATCTTTCATCTTTTTCGCTTCTTAAACTCTGGATGTTATTCTACTGAAATGGATACTTGTGAAAGAAACTTTAGGCGACCAATTCTTATCTTAATCAATAACACTGTACCAAATTATTTTAAAGATAGGAGGAGGGTAGTCTTGGCTGGCAAAATGTAAGCCGTGACGTAATCGAATATCAGGGGCCAGAAAGTTTGTTCTTTGTTCATGTCAACTTTTCGAAAATATCTTTTAATCACTTGATGCTTGCATTTACTTTTAATTTGTTTATTTCTGGCATTGCTAAAGATTTCATTTTAATTTTTTTAAATCATTCCCAAGTGGATGTTCTTTATGTTGTCAGGTAAATTTGCGATTAAGTGTATTAGAGACAAGAACCCAATGTAATTATCATCAACACATACAACATAATGTTGATCGCTGTGTTACATATTTGTTAGGTCTAGGTGCACCAGTTCCTCATAGTTTATGTTCCATGTGGTGAATGTGTTTGATTTTTTATCTTTACTAGTAAATTTGTGATAGTATGTAAGAGATACTTGTCTCAAGTGATATAGTCGAAAGATGACGATTACCTCATCACTTTAGTCTGTAGTAAAGACTAACGACAGCGATTTGTGAATATTTTTAATGAGTTTCAGATATGTTAGACAGAGGCAAACATAAGTTTATTGTCTAAATAAACTGTATCGCTAATTTGCATGTATCCGACGAATATACAGGGTGTTTCAGTTTATTGTTGCATAACTTTAAGATTCGATAGAACTTTTAAAATTAATGCATAAAGTCTATATAAACATGGGTCGAAAAATGCGTGGCTTCCGAAATACAGGGTGTTTAAATTTACTTTCTAAAATAGTTTTTTTTTACATATTTCGAATAATATTTGATTTATAACAGTGAAAATTGGTATACAAGGGTTTTTTGGTACGACAAAACGAACCATGGGCATAGTTTTACTGCAGCCGCTAGAGGGCGCTCTGTACTGTACCTGTAGTGTATTAAAATGACCGAAAAAATTTTCTTAGTGCAATTGTTTGCTTTTTGAATAAAAAAACTGATTCTTCGCACTTTTCAACATAAAAAAGCTCTCTTGTGAATTTTCGTTATAGTTAGCCGTTTTTGAGAAATTTCGATTTTTGAGGTTCGATGCATTTTTTAATTATTTATGGGAAAATAACGTTAAAAAGTCAGTATCTCGATAATTTTTAGAAGTAGGCTGTGCCTGCAAATATTTTTGAAATTGGAAGCAGAATAAGGTTAAACGTCAATTAGTTGACAGTTAGTTTTGTTGTCAGTCGAAACCTGAAACGTTTTTTTGCAATTGTGAATGCACGAAATTTAGTTTCTTTTACCTGTTTTTTTTTTGTAAGTTTTATAAAAATGCCATTTTTATTCTCCAATCAAGAGTTAGCGGATATTCATTTTGTGTATGGCTTTGTAAATGGAAACGCAGTAGAAGCAGCCAGAGAATACGCACGAAGATTTACAAACAGACGACATCCAACCCGCTCAGTATTTGTAAGAGTGCATCGCCAAATAATTGAAAATGGTTTTGGAAATCTCCAAAGGGATCAAAACATAAATGTTCGTCAGCGCAGATTTACCCGTATGATTCTGCGTGAGTTTGATAGAGATCCGACCTCAAGTGTTAGAAGAGTTTCTGGTGCCTTCTGAATTTCAGCAAGCCATGTTCACAGTGTTCTTAGAAATGACCATAGACGTCCTTACCATTAGCAACCGGTGCAAGGACTACAGCCAGGGGACGGAGAACGAAGAATCACATTTTGTCAGTGGATTCTTGATAGAACTGATAATAATAGGGAGTTTTTAAGTAACGTTTTATGGACCGATGAGTCATGCTTCACTAGACGTGGAGTGGTAAATTTTCATAATCAACATATTTGGTCGCATGAAAATCCGCATGCAGTTCGGGAAAGAAATTTTCAGCATGAATTTATGATTGGTATCTACCGTAATCGACTATTTGGACCCTACCTTTTGCCTGCAAGGTTAAATGCTGCGACCTTCTTGGAATTTTTAAAGGCTGAACATGCAAATATGTGGGATGATGTTATGTTAGATTTAAGAAGATTGGCCTGGTTCCAGCTTGATGGTTGTCCAGCTCATTATTCGAGAATAGTTAGAAACTGGCTGGACGAAAATTATCCAAAAAGATGGATCGGCCGTGGAGGACCAGTCGCCTGGCCTCCACGATCCCCTGACCTAAATCCATTAGATTTCTTTGTGTGGGGATTTCTAAAAGAAAAAGTCTACCAGACTCCCGTAACCACAAGAGATATACTAATAGACAGAATCAGGAATGCATGTGATGAAATAAGGCCTTATTTGAATAATACTATACCACGTTCGATCATTCGTAGATGTGAATTGTATATTGAACAATTGGGTTTACATTTCGAGCAACTACTTTAGATTTTGTGTTTATCCTAACTATCCAATAGCATTTTAGTTGTAAATAATTAATTTAATTTGTTAAAAATAATATTGGAAAATTAAACAAATTAATATTCTGTTTTTTGTGTTTATTTGGAGTTAGGAATTATTGCTGTGTTTAAAAACACAATCTAAACGATTATCTTAATTACTTGTAATGCCCAAATCGAAAATGTAAAAAAATATTATTATCCCATAAATAATTATAAATGCATCGAACCTTAAAAATCGAAATATCTCAAAAACGGCTAACTATAACGAAAATTCACAGAGAGAGCTTTTTTATGTTGAAAAGTGCGAAGAATCAGTTTTTTTATTCAAAAAGCAAAAAATTGCACTAAGAAAAATTTTTCGGGCATTTGAATACACTACAGGTACAGTAGAGAGCGCCCTCTAGCGGCTACAGTAAAACTATGCCCATGGTTCATTTTGTCGTACCAAAAACCCTTGTATACCAATTTTCACTGTTATACATCAAATATTGTTCGAAATATTTAAAAAAAAACTATTTTAGAAAGTAAATTTAAACACCCTGTATTTCGGAAGCCACGCATTTTTCGCCCCATGTTTATATAGACTTTATGAATTAATTTTAAAAGTTCTATCGAATCTTAAAGTTATGCAACAATAAACTGAAACACCCTGTAGATTTTCATATCTTTGTATAAGAAGTGGGATATAATTTTGATTCTTTAAGCATTATTTTTAGAATCATTTTTTAAAAGGCGTCTAAATCATAAATATGAGTTGAGCATATAGCTTCCCATTCCAAAATACCATTCTTTAAATGGGGTTCAATAAAAGGATGGTATATTGAATAGAGGTATTTCTATTTTAGAATATCTTTGAGGTATTTAATTTTATATGAGACAAATCTTTTTTAAAATATATGAAATATGAACATCCCAATTCAAGAACAAAATAAACATTTTCGAAAACTTGACATGAACAAAGAGCAAACTTTCTTTCTGGTCCTCTGGCAAGAATTTTCCATTTTGCATAATTATTTTGTTCATCTTCGTCAAATAATGAACAACTTGTTGCAGGTCGCATAGCACCAAGGGGTATGACTGCGAGTATTGTTCACGGGCATTTTCAAAGGAATCTTACCTAATCAGGCATCGGATACGGGTGCACAGCAAAGTGGTTCAAAACCAGCCGAAGTAATGCTGCTACAGGATGGTCCGAGTTGAGAAAGAGAATATGACCCGAACTATCCCTACTTTTAAGTATAACTCAAAAGTGTATTTGTTGTAGTAATTGAAAAAAAAACTATTACGTATACAGGGTGACTTTGAAGTTGAGTGATTAATTTTCAGATAATGATTGTAGAAGGAAGATAAACCAAAATATGTGTGTAAAAATAAAAAAAAAATAAAAAAAATTTTTACCTTGTTTTATAAAGTATCCTCCCGACAAGTATTTCAGTGCGGACCTGTATTTGATCGTGAGGTCCCCTGTGAGGTCTTAAGTCACCTGATTCACAAGCCCGTTGTACTACATTAACAAAGGCACGAGGGGTTGGTTGCACTCGATTGGGAAACCGATCCGCATAAACATGTGCCATTTTTTATTTCGTTTGAGCCACGCAACACATACCACTATTCACTGACACTAACTGTATACAAATGAATGAGATACCTGTAAAAACATCGTTCCAAATTCTTTCGCTTTTTTGTTTCCGATGCGATGAACCGATACGGCGGATTATATCCATTGTCGCCAAACACGACCACATAATATTGTTATTGAGACAGGGCGGTACTCAAACTTCCAAAGGGCTATAACTTTGTTACTTTAATTTTACCAGGAAAATGGTAAAGGAAAAAAACATTTCTTTTGATCAGATCTACTCACTGTTAAAATAAATGACTCAACTTCGAAGTATACAAAGGAATAAAAAAAATTCTTTGTTTTTTTGTTAGTGGATGAAAATTATTTTGTTCTCGAGGCATATTCTCCTTCTTGGCCTGGATAGAGTGATCTATTTATTGTGTCATATTTTTTGTTTTGTTGGATATAGCAATAACATTGTTAGTTTATTGCTGCTTTGTTTATATAACCTTTTTATATTGATTTATGTGAGACATAATATGTAACTGTAATCCTATGTATTTTTTTAGAACAGAATGTACGTTCTGTATGAATAGATATATCCATGAGGATCTGTTCATATAAATTCTTCCCGAAAAAATATTTCCTTTGGTAGTGTGTAAAAAATGAAACATCTTCAACAACTCATTTATTTGACAATATTCACTATAACTTTTCAAACTATCAATAATTAAATTATAATCTTCATACTCATATCTATAAATAAAAAATATCAATAAAGTGTCTACTATAAAGTTCGATTGCAATTCCAAAAGTCGTTAAATCATGATATATTTGAGTCTTTCAACATTAGCTCCTAAATATTTTGCCTCAATTCTCGCAAGACCAATAAAAAGTGAGATTAGCTGTGTAATCGAATGTCCAAAAAAAAAAACGAAATACAAAACTCTCAGAGAATCCCAACCAGTCTCAGATTCGATAACACTTAAAGTGCCTTGATGGATAGATTGAAAAACTATTCGACATTTGACATGCGCGACTACAAGCGTTTAGATAAAACGTCCCATCAGGTCAGATGTCAATGTCACAATTATAGAAACTATTATCTTCAAGGGAGTGCTACAAAACGCAACCAATTATATTTGCGGTCAGTATAATTTCACTATTTGACAGACAGTTTTCAATCTATCCTTATAAGCAGTTTACCTATTCAACCTTTCTCCTTTATATACACTATAAACTAAAAAATATTACGTGTGATTTGAGGTGCAGTCGATGATCTCCGTCAAACATCGTCCAAATTCCTCAATTATCAACCGTTTCGTCATCTCTTCATCTTGCATATTTTCCTGCGCGTTGTCGCAAATCGTCAACATACACTGACAAGTCGCTTCTATCACTTCTTCTGTTATGTAGTTGACGGTTTGTTTGTTACTGAAACGGAAAAATTTCTCGTCAGGAAAATTGTTGAAGCACTACAACTTGCAACCCGACAAAATGAACGATACGTTGACGATGATGAACTACAAATGTTCACACCTGACAAGTGTAGGTACTCAGGGTAACAAAAGCAATAGTTTAGATGATGTGTTAACCTCCGTTGGAATATACCATAACCTCTCTACATTTCGATGAACTAGTTGAAAGAACTAATTCGCGAATGAACTATTTTACGCAACAATACCACATAATGCCAGTGAAAACGCGGCCTTTCATCTAACTGCCGGAGCCAAGCGGTATCTGCTGCGATTACTATTAATATTTGGATGGATAAACGCTTCAAAACAATTCGTATTGTTCAATTTTTGGACTTCCATGTTTTCTCAAATAATTTGGGATACACTTTTGTTTTCACCAGTTCGGAAAAGTTTGGTCAAATAAAACATCTCTGATTACCGTTGCCAATGTCCTCCTTTCGGGAGAAGTCTCTTACTTTTACTTCCTATGTCAAAACTGGCGAGGAAGTATTGTAATCCCGCAAAATTTCGAAAATGAGATATTACGTTTTTTGGATGTTATATGATATGTACATCAGAAAAAACTATGTCGCTCATTTACCTCGGTCTGTCTAATTTTAAAACCGCCTATAACATGAGAAGTACTGCTCGGATTTTGATTAAATTTTCACACAAGGATAAACACTACTATGCCAAGGATGAAAAAGCTTTATTGTTTTCTGACAATCGATCCAGTGCTGCTGAAGCTGAGGCAAAAACACAAAAAAAATCGCTTGTAAATGTACCTCCCATTTCGTCAAACCTTTAATTTATGTTAAAGCGTCTGTGGTGGTTCGCAGATAGCAGATTAACTGAGTACTTATGGCACATTGATATACAACAGACACGGATCGACAAACCGACATAAATGAGAAACAGGGACTTGAGTGATGGAGATATCTTTAAGCAACAGAACCGAAGTTCGAATATTATCGCGAGTTTTATACTTTCATCGTTTAGGCAGTCTCAGATTTTGAAAATTGAGTCGGAGGCGGAGGAAATAAAATCGTTAGTTTCAAAAATGTATTTTGGAAGCTGTATTTGGTAGATGGTTGTAAATTGTTCCATATTTGTTATCAGACATAATGAGTCACACATATTTTCTCTAGATCTACCATGGAAACAGAAACATGATAGATTTGTTTTATATAGTTTTATATGCACAGGTTGAAGATTCATCGTAAATAAGTGAACCTACCTAATCACGATTCGACTTCGCCTTTTGAAACGATTTGATACATCCCTTTTCCTTGAAACATTCAACGAGGGCGTAAATCGTATAGAGTCAATCTACTTGATGCCATTTTTTAGTATCGCAGGCAGTGGCGGCCGGTCCATAGGGGCGAAAAGGCTACAGCCCCCCAAGACAAAATGCGAATTAACAAAAAATTTAAAATATGATTTTGTGATTAAATAATTTCCAGATATATACGAAAATTCAATCAAAACCTGAATTTTAATAGTAGCCAGTTACGCAACACGCAATATATATATATATATATATATATATATATATATATATATATATATATATTATCCGATCCAAATACCCCGAAGTCGCGAGCTAGATTCCCTATCGATTCGAGGCTAGAATAATTTTTGCCGCGATCGCCGACCTGATTGAGTGGCTCGCTACGTCATACCCCTCACGCGCTTACGAGTTTTATACGGGATTTTAACACGCGAGGTGGCGAAATAATTTTTAGCCAGTCCCGATTTACGTGTGTACGAAATCGCTTCGTCGCGTCCCCGTGCCGTCGTTCGGGCGTTCAAAAAGTTTAAAATGGCAAATGAAGTACAAAATTTGTTAAAAGGTGAATTTTCTCGGCTTCCGCTTGCTGAAAAAATAATAATAAAATCCCTTGGAAGGCCGATTCCAAATATCAACCTTACTCAGGCTGATAAATCGACGAAAGCTGGTTGTTTTAAGAGACATTTTAAGAAAGTCTATAACAAAAACAAATGGATATGCGGTTGTGGCACATTAAACGCCCTGTTTTGTTTTCCGTGCTTACTGTTTTATTCAGATGCAACGGAAAAGACATGGACAAGAACTGGATTTAAAGATTTAAAGCATATAAACCAGAAAATTAGTAAGCATGAAAATTCGGCTCGTCACATGATTTGTTAGACAGAATTAGCTTTATTGGGAACAGCTAGTATCGCTGCTCAGTTAGATTCCGCTTACAAGCAAAATATTATTAAGCACAACGAGCAAGTGGACAAAAATAGATATCTTTTAAAAAGAATAATAAACTGTATAAAGTTTTGCGGTAAATTGGAATTAGCGTTAAGAGGGCACGACGAAAGTGAAGACTCTGAAAATCGTGGCATTTTTCGAGAGTTGATTAATTTTACGTCCGAACTGGATACAATATTAAAGGAACATTTAAAAAGTGCGACACTGTTTAAGGGTACTTCTAAAACAGTACAAAATGAAATACTAGATAGTATGTTGGAAGTCTGCCAACAAGAAATTCGACAGCAAATTAATGCAGCAGAGTTTTTAGCTATACAGTGCGACGAAACAACAGATATTTCACATCATTGTCAAATGGTAATGATATTTAGATATCTCCATGAAGGTGAAATACAAGAAAGATTTTGGCGTTTTTTGAGCGTTACGGACAAGACAGCTGAAGGTTTGGCAAAGTGTATCGAAGAAGAACTAGGCCCATTATTAAAAGATTCACCCCACAAATTAATTGCGCAAACTTATGATGGTGCAAACGTAATGAGCGGTAGCAGTGGTGGAGTTCAAACAAAAATCAAACAAAAATATCAGAACGCTCATTTTATACACTGTTACGCTCACCAACTGAACTTAATTATGCAGAGAGCAGCCAGCCAAAATCCAAAAGTAAAAGTGTTTTTTTCAAACCTGTCGGCAATTCCAAGTTTCTTCTCCAACTCCACGCACAGATGCGATTTATTGGAAAAAATAGTTAAAACCAAAATGCCAAAGGTTGCGCCAACACGGTGGAATTATAACATTCGCACAGTCACTGCCGTTTTTGAGAACCGTGAAAGTCTTATTGATTGTTTCCGGGAGTTAGAGAATAAATGTGATAAAACAATTACTAGTAAGGAGGCATACGGTTTAAGAAGAGCACTCGAAGATTCTGATTTCATCTTTTTTTTGACTTTTTTTCACAAAACCCTACCGCACGTAGCTATTTTGTTTAACCAGTTTCAAAGTAGGAATAAAGACAGTGTACAACTTTTAAAAGATATTGACGTATTTGAGAAGGCCATTGTATTGATTAGGGACACTACAGAGGATATACAGCAAACTGTTGAAAATGAGCATGGAGACAATGGAAATAAACGCAGAAAAGTAGGACCCGAAGAAAGAAATTGTATTATTGCAAAAGAAGTTTGCGATATAATAATTGTACAGACAAAAGAGAGACTTTCTTACAGGGGTCATCTAGAAGCTGCATCTTTATTAGATACACAAAACTTCACAAACTATTCGAGATATTTTCCAGCAAAAATACTGAATTCAGTTGTGACTTATTATCCAATGGTAAATAAAGAAAAACTGAAAACCGAATTAGAAGTAATGTACATGAGGGAAGACTTCAAAAATATTACAGGTGGTTTGAATTTGCTGTCCCTATTGACTAATAACAACCTAGAGGAAACTTTTAGCGAAGTAACTAAGTTGTTGCAAATAATTATAACTACTCCCATGTCAACTTCCGAAGCAGAGCGCTGTTTCTCAACCCTTAAGAGGATAAAATCGTTTTTAAGAAACTCGATGGGCAATGAACGACTGAATGCATTGGCAATGATGTCTGTTAATAAGAATCTGGTACATAATATCAGCAATTTCGACGAAAATGTGATGGAACATTTTATTTCACAGAAAGACAGAAGATTAGACTTTACATATAAACATTAAAAAATATTTTGTAATAAATAGAAGTGTGAAGTGTGACAGTTGAAACACAATGTTTGCTCTAGCTGTAGGTAGGTATACTTAGTCGTTTATAATACAATAATACATTTAGGTATACCGTATTTCTGTTCTCTTTTCCAGTTATTTATAGTTACATGTGTTGTAAGAAAGTGAAAAACTATACTTTTGAGTACGGTTGTTCTTTTGATAATAGATGCTCTGTTGCTTTCATATTAGATGCTGCTTTCTTTTGCGATAAGTTCTCGTACCTAAAATATGTTTGTTCCTATACAGAGGACTGTACATAAAATATATAGGTATAGGATTGCCAACTGATCCATCCACAAAATCAGGACATAAAAGATGCAAAAAAAATTATAGCTCTAAAAATGTATATTTGAATTTGAAGGCTCAAAATGGAAGTTTTTGGGCGTGGCACCGTAAAAATTCTTTGCCTCCGGCGGTGACTGCGGCAGGCCACCCTTCCCTACAATAGCCCCCCATTTCTCACAGCCACCGGCCGCCACTGATCGCAGGCAAAAACGAAGCTGAAAATGAATTAGAGAAGAAGAAAGCATTTTGACCTTGAGCCAAAACGTCTTCCTGGAGTTCAAAATCCAGCCGCACTGAATAAATATTTTAATGAGCCGCTTTTACCGAAAACAGAGGATCTTATGAAGTGGTGACAGGAAAGAGCAAAAATCTATCCCAGATTGAGATGATTTAAAAAACGTTCAAGACTTATAGCGACATCTGTGCCATGTGAGCGGTTTTTTCAAAGGCTGGCAAATCTTGTCGGAAAGAAAAAGTAGACTAGAATCCAATAAAGTTCAAAAACAATATTTTCAAATGGAAATTTATAGTTAATTTACGTTTTAGTATTGTTTCAATTTCTTCATTAGCCTCATTGTGTGATATTTTGTATAAAAGCTAATTTTCATTTCTTTCAGCCTTTGTAACTTAGGGCCGTATCGCCAGTCGTTCCTACAATAATTGTAGGACACCTTTATTGCCTCCTTGATTTTCATAGTTTTCTACTTTTCCGTGTCAGCGCTATATTTTGAGGTTATGTTACAAATATCCATTTGTATTAAATTGTTCATGCTTTTGATTATCATCTATTATATAACCTGAAATTTCCTACAACTCAAAAAGAAAACGTAACGTAACCAGTAGAAATCTAGAAATACCCCAGCCTTTCTGAAGGAGAGAAAAGTCTATGAAAATCAAGAAGGCGATAAAGGCGTCCTACAATATTGTAGGAACGACTGACGATACAGCGCTCAGAGCATTTGTTGTTATATTTTTAATAGTCATTTTATCCTGTTCAATATCATTGAATTAGACCACGTTCGTATCCAGGCAACCAGTCATACAACCTGCTGCTTATTTGGTTGCTTCCGATGGTGATGAGTACCGTCTCCGATCTCGTTCAAGTTCGTTCACTTATAACTCGTTCGCTTGGATCACCGAGATCCTATGATATAACATCCTTGGTGTTGAACAAGTGAACGAGTTTTTCGAGGAATGATGACATAGTTCACTTGGTTCAGTCATAAGAATCGTTCGGTTGAAGCAGGTCGTTCGCAAACTACACATCACTATTTTCCAGTTGTATACAAATCTGATATCGAACACAGGTCCGTGAAGTTTTACCACGTTTTTTTATCCAAAATTTCAGTTTTCTACCAATGGATTTAAAAAAATGGAAATAAAAATTCTGGGCTAAATTCACGTAGTCCAGACCTAGTCAGATTTTAGAAAAAAATGAGCATACATAAATTTTCCATCGTTTCATGTTTTTCCAATCAAATTTTTTGTTTTTCCACCTTTGACTAACAAAAAAATGTGAAATGATTTTTTAGGGTCAATTAACTCAAACCTCTCTAAAATTGTTTAGGCTACGTGTAAATCAGTGCGAATCGTTTTTCCATCCTATCACTTAAAATTTTCCACGAGAAATTTTCATTTTTCCGCCTTTGGTTAGTAAAATTAAAAATAAGAAGTCAGAATTACATGTACGTAACTCGCATTTGCTGATACTTTTGTCTACCTGTCCATCCTATCACTAGTATTTCTGATACTTCGTTAGTCTATGGCAACAAATATCTTACCGCGTATTTGAACTGCGCCTTTGCCTATTCCCGTCTCTCGTTGGTGAATATCTGTTTGCTGACATTATAGCCGCTGCAACCTTCTCCATTTCTACCAGATGTCTCAGAGTTTTCTTCTCCATGCTGTCTTCTATATTCCGACATCCGATGCATTTGCAGTTGTTTGAACAGGCGATTTTTGCCTAAGAAAAAAATAGTGTTTTGCAGAAATATATACATTAATATTCAAAATATGTCAGGAAAGGCTGTCTACATACTGGGCCTGAAAACATGCATATTTTTCTGAAAAAATGCTTTGTTAAAATATATGTGCTGGTAATCTGGAAAGCTAGAATTAGATGGCGCTAGCATTGATTGACGTATTCTACCTGAAAATAGCCAACTTGGTGCTATATTCCTGCGTCCAAACAGTTATCCGAGATAAAATGAGATACTGTAGCATCACCTATGTGAATTTGTCTCAGCTATATATTTACTATATGGGTCAAAACTAAAAGATTTTCTCGCTAATCCTGTCATTGGAAAGCATTATGCTCCACAATATATGACTATTTCCACCTTGTCCAATAAAGTCAAAAATGACGTCCAGATATCACTTTTTCGACATTTTTTACTGATTTATTGGGCTGATAATGAGGCCTTCAGAAAAGAAAAATTAATAAAATCATTTTTTTCATATAGGAATATCCCTCTCTATAGACATAGTTTTGTACTCGGGAGTTTAAATTGGTCTGATAAGCGTTTGGATCCAATTTTCGATATTTCGAAATTAACGCACTACTTTTTTTATTCCTTTTTAAAAGTATCTAAAATAAGTGTTGGTATTCCATTTTCAATGATCTCCTTTTTTTCTTCAAAATTATACAAGGAGAATGACTTTTCAAGTAGTTAATCGATTACGCAGCGACACTCATCCATGTTTAATTGCACGCACACTACAACCGACAACCAAAACGATTACTAACGAGGGAGAAGTAAGTAACCAAACAAAAAATTGTAACAAGCCCACATAATAATCGCGACGGCCCAAGCACTTGGGCGACCGCGATCAGACACGAGACGGTCCCGACGGGCTATCAAGTGTATCCATAAACGAAAATGGTAACAACCGACAACCAAGTCGAGGCTTCATTGCGTTCGCAAAATCTAGTCAATATTATAGGGCGTATTATTTTCGTGGGGCTAATCTACTATTTACTAAATTACTAGTACATATTGCTGGTGGTAAACAAATAAATGAAATATTTCACAGTACTTAGTCATACATTATTTAGTTTTAAGATTTTTAACTGTTACCAATGGTTACATGGACGCTTCGCCAACATTTTTGTGATCATAATGCTCACCTTGGACACACGTTTTTTTGTGAATATCTCTTAAAAGCTGCGTTAGCCAATGGACGTTAAGCAATCTGTTGATTTTACTTCACGAATAAATCCTACCTCATAACATTCGCAATAATTTTTCAGACATCCAGATCTTTTGCAGTTACAGCCCTTGGTGTGTTTCCTTATTGCAGTATCACCAGCGACATCCTTAGCCTTACCGATTTTGGGTTTAAAAGCGTGCGGGTTTCTCTCCAAACATGCCTAAAAAAGAGAAAATACATGTGACTCAGAATATTACGGTGCTAATAACTTGTACGACTCCAACATGTCAATATCGGCGCAACATTCACTATCACTACGTTATGAAAAAAAGGAGTTTTGGTACTCGCCTTTATTGCTCTGTTCCGGTACTCCTCATTATCCAGATCATTGAAGCAATTGATGCATTTGCACATATAACAGAATTCGCCATTTGCGAAACAATCACAGTAGAGTTTCAGACATTGAGATTTGGTACAGTTGCAAGGCTTACGAGGTCGCATTCCATTTGCGTCCAACTGTAAAAAAATGGCGTATTCAGTTCGTAAAGGATCATGTTTGGCACAAGTTAGCCCTTGTGAGCAAAAACCAATCATTCTCCGAGATGAACGTCAAGCGGGATTGTCACAGTGCACACGTGAAAAAGCGTTACTGGTCCAGGAAGCATCTTCGAAACCACTCAGAAGAATATGCATAATCTTATTCAGAAAGAATCCAATTCAACGAATCTACATGTTACCAGGCTCAAAATTGTCAAAATATTGTATAAACAAATTCATTCAATCAACTAAGATGAATAACAATAATTTAATTCTATTTTTATAGACGTAAATATTGATTTCATAAATATAGAGACAAATAAGAGTAAGAATCTTGAGGTTCTTGAACACCATCCTACATGATGTGTTTGAAATACCAGCAGTAACTAATAATCTTTTCATTTTTAAAATAAATAATAAAAACTGAATCGACGTCGGTCGAAATTCCCCAAATACAGATTCCATACCTTAGTCTGCTATCAATTAACAAATGTTATACTATTTTTAAAAGAGCATTAAATAGGCTAGTTTTTGAGATCATTTGCCGCTTCCGTCTGTTATATATTTTTTTTCATAGTAATTAGTCACACTTTAGAAAAAAATTTCACATTGAAAGAAAATGTAATAATTATTTTTTTATCATACCGTGCTGGTTTTCAATAAAATGAATACTGGGTTGTCTCAACCACCTATTAATGTTTGCTCAAGGAAAAAATAATAAGTGAGAAGTTCTTTATTGCGTTATATAACAGGCAAAAAGTAGGGATTTTTTGAAAAAACTTATAAGTGGCAATATTTCGGAAACTAGAAAACTTTTACTGAAGTCATATTGATTTTATCTGAAGCCAATCTTTCTCTCGTGTCATTCTGGCGTGTTATTTCTGGGACGCCCTCTATAGACAAAATAGTATTGAAACTTACATCTTCAGTTTTGGACATAGGAGGTGTAGCAGGTGGAGGTGTAGCAGATTTGGGAGGAGAGGGCTTAACCTGCGCCTGTCTGGGGCTCGGATTGGGCGGAATGGCCACCTTGGCCACCGGAGCAATAGTGGCCGGATAGGCCGTGGCTGGGAGCACAGCCAACACTTGTGGGGCCGCCGCGGTCACGGTCGAGGTTATTGTCTTCGCTGGCTTTGGAGCTATTTTGCTCGCTGTGCTTGCAGCCTGTAACAAAAACAATAATAATAATCTTTATTCCAAAAGGTTTGCGTCCACTCACAGGAACATCCAATAATAAACAAGTTCTATGCTCTTGTGCATAAAAGTTAATTTTACAAAATGCATTTAAAACATAAATTAAAAACAGTATTACAGGAAATAAAAACGTAAACATAAATATGAACATTTTAATCTATGTTATTAATTTGTGGTCTTCTAAGAAGAAATCTTGATCAACAAAGGCTCATTCCCTGCATACATAAAGTGCGTAAATACCAAACCTAAGATCAATTTGATAAGACCCACCAAGGCGCCCTAAGCGACCCATTTTCTGCGGAAAATTCAACCATGCACTGTTAGTATTTGTAGCCTAGACTATTTTGTGCAACCCTCGTAATACTGTTCCTAGATATCGTCAACTTGGCAACGTTGTTAATAGAAAAAAGACAAAATTGAAAAACAAAATGTCAAATTATTTTAGGTTAGGAGTGTAGGTTTAAGGGTTAAAAAACAGCGTTTTCCTATTTTTCAAAATACTTTAAACATTTAGATGACCAGCAATCGTCCGTTTTGAGCTTAACGTTAGTTATGAACAAAGTACGAAACTCTATAATACTAGCGACCTTGACTTTTGTGCCGCTAATAATAAATTTGATCTTGCACCGGCGATATCGAAGATTGAAAAAAGCGTTGAAATGCCAGGAGAAATTCTACTACAACGTTATATTCATAAACATGAGAAACGTCGATTGCAAACAGCACCTAATTAGCAGAAAAGAGTGCGGAAATTCTTGTTCTTATGTCCAGCTACAGAAAATTCTGCACTTTGTATCTAGTGCCAAAGTCAGCATTTGCGTTTGTATGTATATGTTAACTTTGAAGCAGTTCAGCCAAGAGTTGATCAAAGCTCATAAGCGGGGCGTCAAAATAAGGGTTATTTTGGATCTAATCATGGCTAACGCTGACGCTGCACAATACAATATCTCAAAATTCATTCAAAATGGTAATTTTTTTTCTTAATAACTATAATGAATAAACAAACAAGGGCAAGGCATGGTTTAGCAGGCAATACTGTTTTACCGCTACAACGAGAACAGTACTAGATTGTAACTTATTTAATAGCTGTCTGCTTGACTAACAATGACGACATATTCGCCATGTGTTCAGTAAAAGGCGTTTAAGAAAGGGCAATCATGCTACGATGTACTGAGATAGCAACATGATTAAATCATTTTGTCTTTGTCCTAATAGAGCCTTTGAATGGGCAATATATACTCAGTAACAAAAAGGTAAACCCCTACATATGTTTATACAGTATACTGCATAAGGATCTGTTGGACCTCCTAACAACAATTTGATCCCACTCAAAGTTACTTAGCTGGGAAAGCTGGTAAACTCTAGGCATTTTGAGCAATCACAAAAAGGCTTCCCAATAAGCTACACGAAATTGAACTGACACTATAAATGTACGAAAAGTGAATGCTTCTTTATCACCAAACAATACACGCAGCCACCACAAAAACATGACTATGTTATTACTTGTTCATTGCAAGATAAATCTCTTCATATAAACATAATATACCTTTTTTTGTCACTTGGTATATGTGGCCCAGCAATATATCTTCAATATATGAGCTAAGTCCCAACTATATCTTTTCATTATTGTCTGCAATGTGCACCTCAAGACAACTATCAATTCAGTCATGAATGACCATAAGGCAACAAATCATGCAACATGCCAATATAACATATAAAAAATATTTGTAATTAACAATAATAGACAAAGTACTAAGTCTCATTTGAAGCATTCCTGAGGAATCTATTTGATATTAGCAAAACTTTAATTAGAAATAATTCTCCATGACCAAGGCTTGGGACTGAATTAACAATTTTCTAAAAGAGGACTGATAATTCTAACAAACCTTTTTTTTCAGACATCATTTACAAACACCAGGTTCCAGAATACTCTATGATGCACCACAAATTCTGCTTGATTGATAAAGAAGATAGCAGTTTAGCTAAAATGTTCTTTGGTTCTATGAACTTGACTGGTCAAGCAATGGTTTATAATTTTGAAACTGTTATTCTAACAAATAATTCTCATGTTATACAGAGATACAGTGACGAGTTTGAAGACCTATGGAATTATTTTTGATATGCTTAATTCTATTAATAGTTAATATATTTTTGTACAGTACTTAAAAAGCTTCAATACTTATTTTAACACCAGTATTTGAGAAGATAGTTACAAGTAAAATGCGGATAATAAAATGTTGACATGTAAATAGATTAATGTAAAAAAGAGAACATTTCAAGCCAGACTGTTTAGAATAAATCATGTAGCAATCCAATAGTTTATTCTCTTTGACTGACCTTGATTTCTGTGACAATCATGTTAGAAGTAGGGACGTTAGTCACTAACTTTGCAGCTGTAGTTGTCCCAGTTGATGTTGTTGGTATAGTTGCTTCAGCTGTGCTTGCAGTGACAAATTTGATCAATTGCATCTAAAACATAATCATCATTATAAGGAATCACAATATAACTTGAAATATTCACCCCTTTGCCTGGAATATTTATTTGATGCAACTGTCCACTTGCCAAAGCTTGTGAACTAGCTACTTGAATCAGCTGTCCAGAAGGTATTATGGTCTGATTTGTCCCTGTAGTTTTGAAAAATATTTTTTGAGAGCCCTTTGGAAGTGTAACAGCGCCTGCTGGCAATATTTTAGTTGGTGTTTTCACTGTACTCTGGGTCTTTGTGACAGACGTGCTGGGTACTGCAGCAGAAACTAGGGTTGGTGTCATTTGCGGTACTAGCTTGACACCTTTCTGAGGAGCTTTAGCTAAAAGTAAAGTTTGCTGTTTTGCAGTACCAGCAGATTGCTGCACCAGTTTTGTGCTGTTCCCTATTAGCCCCATTTCTTGAGCTTGCTGTAGGGTGATCGTTTTGGTAGGTGATGGCACAGTTGTAAGAGACCCTCCTTGGGCTTGCACCAACTTCAATTGCTGTTGATCGCCAGATTTTTGCACCAACATAAAATGTTGACCTTGTTTATTGGTGAATGCAGTGAGTGTTGGTTTTGCTGCTACTGCCTTTTGAGCTGGTGTCATGACTTTCTTCATCACCAAAGGTTTCTGCTGGATAATTGAGATGTTTCCCCCTGGCGAAGATACTGTTTTGAATGTCGGTTTGATTGCAACAGGACGACTGCTGATCAAGTTTGCTAGATTCAATTCCTGGCCTTGAGGGGACACTAGTTTCAAGGTTTGACCTGCCCCTGAACCTGGAATGATAATCATTAATGTAATACCATTTTTAATCATCAGTTTTGATTTCCATACCTTGTAATAAGAGTAGCTGCTGTCCAGCTACTGGCTTCACAGTTAAAGGCACTTTGGCTGGCTTAGGAGCAATAGTCAGTGGTCTTAGAGGAGGAATAGCATTGGTTCCCAAGATCGGTCTTATATTTTTAAGACCTTGTAGAATTTCATCTGAGGAAGCAGTATGTTGATCAGTTTCTACAAAATCATCTGCAACAGTTTCTTCTGTTTCAACCTCTTCCTCATGCTCTATTATCTCCTGATTTTCTACAATCACCTCTACAAAGTAATAAATTTTAAAATCCAAGTTGAATGGAAACTGTATAAAACATGTATGCACCAACTATTATAAAAATCAACTACTACATGATTTTTCTCTTTGGTAGATCATACTTTGGCACCTCAAACTAAAAAATGGAATTTTGAACCTCGGCTCTTCTAACAATAACATTACTTCAACTTTCCCAACCACAAACTTATTTAAATCTACAAGTATACTGAAGTTGTACTGTTGCAATCTGGATGTAGGAAATCAACAATATTAAGCCATTCATATTATCATAGTATCACATGTGTTTTACTGTAATTGGGGTGCTCAACTTACCAGTTTCCATATCTTCGTTTGTCAATGTTAACTCTTGAGAAAAGTCATTTAATGCATGATAATCATCTCTATTTAGTTCAGATATATTTTCTTCAGTAAGAGTAGTATTCTCCATAGTTAAACTATCAACGAGTGCCTCAGTCTCTTCTGCAGAGCCGCCTGGAATGTGTAACTTATGAGACAATTTTACTTGCAATTAAGAACTGTCTTATGGAAACGTGTATTTATTATGTGAACTACAATTCGCGGTATTTCAATTTTACAAAAACAAACAGTACATTTCAAATCTAGCATTTGAAGAAATTCCAATTTATAAAAGGAGACGCCTGGCTTGCAAAAGGTTTCGATAACCACAGCCTGACGAACTATCAGTTTGCATAATATTTTGGGTGGCCTTGTGATGACTATATCATATAAATACTATACCTTTTTCAGAAAAAGACATGATAAACTTGATTTTTTCACATAAAAAAGAATGAACTATTCAAAACATTATAGTCAAATTTGACAGGTCACGTGATTACACAAGCGCTTCTCTGTCTACATGTTCACCAACATCCTAAACGAAAATCCTAGAATCCCTTCTTTTGGCGGTAAATTCAAATTCTTTGGTATTTTCGGTTCAGGATCAAATTGATTTCTTCATGCTGCTACTAATATTATTTTTATTTTTAGGAAATAGTACAACACAAAATATATGGTTTGAAATTATCCATGTTTATTTGTGACTGAACAAATGAACAAAATTGACGTTTCGGAATTTTGGAAATTGAAATGGCGAGTCAAAAAATTAAATAAATCAGTGAGAGTCCTACACTAAGTATGGAAAATCCCTGCAAGCCAACGATTGAAGAGAAGCACTACAGCTATCGTCGGGTTACAGAGACAAATTTAAACAGCGATGGCCCGAAAGCGGAAGTGAGGCAAATAGACTGTAGTAAAAAGGCGTTTGGGTTTATGAAAAAGGATGAACCGCCTCCACCGCCTCCCCCGTTATTGGTAACAGTTATTTTGCTTTTTTAATAACTGCTTTAATGTTTTGTTCAAAAAAGATTAATCCACTTTAGAGCGAAATATTGGTGTCCATTTAATAGCTAAATTTTGATTGAAACCATATGCAGCGCGCTAGTCCGTATAGCTGACGTTTCGTGTTATACTTTTAATCTGAAAAAATAATATAGGGTGTAGCTGTTCCACAATTTGTATCGAAATTTTCACTTGTTGAAATGAAGGTATTCTTTTCATTCCACTAATGTCCCTAGATACAAATGAATAACTGGGAAGTTTAATACGGATCTCTCATAAAAATTAAATTACTTTGTTATTCTATTATCGAAAACTGGACAAAATGTTTGTGTTGAAGTTGACTTAACAATTTATTTTAAATCCTCTTCCAATATTATAATGGGATTTTTGAATTTCTGTACCTGGTGATACAATTTGGTTGCTGGATCGACAACAGTGGCAACCATGTATGGTGACTTTCTATGCAAGGGGGCAAAGCACGCCACCTACATGACTAACGGTAAATTTAAGAACTAAAGTTTCTCACGACCTGAAATATTTCGCCGGGTGAGGTAAAAAGATTGTCGGGGGTTGTGGTGCTGTGCCGATCGTGCGAGGATAGAAAAGACTAGATTTATATATTTTTAATAGATTTTTAAATAACTTCTACAAATACAAAAAAGGTAAGGCTCAATTAGAAGTACTCGATAACTGTACCCATTCAGGTGCTCAAAGTTCATCAAATAACTCACATTGGCTGAATTTTCAGAATAAATGTTTATTTATGAATGTTTCTATTATGTCTTATCTAAAATAGTCGTTATTTGTGTATATTCACGAGAATCTAGTGGGCTAAACGTATGATAACGACGGCAGTCATCTGTTATGTAAGGTTGTATCATGGATAAATTGATTTTTTCGGAAACATTTATGGGATTCCTCATTTTGTGCAGTGTCACCACAACAGTTTTGTAGTTTTTTACCGGTGAACTGTATTTATAAAAATTTGATTAGTTTCAATTTTTCACTAAAAATAGGGCAATTTATTTGTCGCCATATTAGCAACTTGTGACATGGCATGACACAACACGAGGTTGAAAAGATGGGTTAACGGCGTTTTACGTAACCTCGGAATTGATATTTTTATAAAAATGTGTGAGACATCCTACTTTGACGAATCAATTATAAATAAATTTAATCACATGTCAGTTGCCAATATATCAAAACCCAATGCCAAGTTCATTGTTTGACGCAAAAGCGCGTTTATTTAAAAATCCTTTGAAAATAGAAGCATTTCAATGACTGTATTCTTTTTAGTTTTCTCAAAGCATTCGCAATTATCGCGTCCAATGCTTTTCTTACGGGATGGTTTTTCATCTCGTCCGGTTTCGGTTTCGTACCCGCCGTAATGGCCTCAGGCGTTCACCCTCGGCCTATACTCCATTTACAGTGTTGCCGCGAGCTCCAGTATTATATCGATATTTTCCGATTTGCTATACCATTCCAAAATCAAATGTGATTGTGAAGGTATTGTACATTTCGCAACGGATCACACAAAATATCAAACCAGTTAAATGCATATTCTGCGCTTTTGCATAATTTGTTGCTTGTTGCTCAAAATTACTGAAAAATACTTAGCGGTAAATTCGACTTTATACCTACAGAGCGTTTTAAAAGGCTTCACGAAACTGTTTTGTTTCTAAATTGAAGATACCATATCATTTCTTTGATTCAAATTTAATCGCAGCATATGATTCCATTCTATAGTAAATCACGTGATATGATATTTGCACGCGTGATATTGCATGGCCACAATGATCACAAGATTTGATCCCCAGTGATGATTTTCAGTGGGGGTACATCAGGAGAAAGATGTTAGTGGATACTTCAAAGATTATACTGAAAATACGTTCTGAAGTAATTAAAATTAAATCCATTAGTCCCAGCATATTATGCAAAATGCAGGACTTTTAGATGATGTACAGTGGTCTAGGACACAAAAAATACGATTCCTACGGATCTATGCGGTGTTCAGCTCAGTAGGGTTGTTTTTGGGATTCTGATTTTAATTCTAGTATTACTTTATTGTCTCTATGGGGTCATTTAAATGTCGCTTCAGGGTCATATCACGGACACTTTAAAAGGGTAGATGATCCCAACCACATATCATTTAGGTTGTTCTGCTCACTAATTCCGAATTAGAGGTCAATTAGTCACTATAAGGGCACCTGAAGGTCATTTCAATGTCACTTCAAAGAAATTCAAAATAAGTCCATCATACGAATTTTAATGCCACTAAGTACGAATTTGAAAAAGTTGAATAACTTTCCAACCTCCTGTCATAATAGGGAAGTATACACTGAGAACCAAATTTATGTGAAGGCTTAAGTTCAGTGCGTACGAGAGAGACGTGGGTATAGGGACATATGGTAGAAAGAGATAGAAGCCGACTGAATAGCAAAGCTTATCACCGCGATGCCTAGCAACGCTGACATGGCAATCTGTTCTTTGAATTAAGACGCATGTTGAAAATATGTGCTGGTTTATTCTCTACGCCAAAATAATGGTTTTATTTAGAGCATACACATTTTTGAATTGTGTCGAATCTTTTTAGGATCGATTCCGGATCGGTCCTAACGGCGTTCCATTTTAGGTCGAAATGATAGGTCAGGATCATTGGTTCGCTTGGCAGCACCGCATCTCGTACATTCCAAGGCAAGGTTTCCACCTCCATGATCATAGATGAGCGATTTTGGTTAGTACCCATCTAGCGCTCATTGGGCAGTATCGTTCTGCTTCAAAATTGTTTTCAACTGCTTACGCGCAGGCAGTGATAATATGTATTGCGTAACAATAACTCAGGGTGTGTTGATTTTATTACTATCGTTGGAAATCAAAGATAATTCTAAAATAAATCAAATCACTAAGTCGCATCAAAATTGAAATAAATAATTCTAATCAAAATGAAACCAAAAAATTAAATCAACAGACATCCGTTATCAGTTTGACAGTAACCTAACGTGTTCTGAGAGCCTGTGCGAACATTTTCTGGTGTAACATATCGGCAACACGGCAGATTGCACGACTTTCTGCGTCACCGTTGCTAGGCAATGTGCTGATGACCTTCGCTCTTCAGCCGGCTTCTGTCTCTTTCTAACATGTGTATAAGGTTTTATTATTTCTCAATAGTTTGCAAAAAATCTGTCACATTTTACTTGACAGTACTTCAAGGTACACAAACATCATTTATTTGATTTGGGTCGATGGTAGGAACCTTCTATATTAAAAACATCTCTGAATAATATAAAGAACTTGGAGCTCAGCAGTTCAATAACTTAAAATTGTTGATAATTTTCAATTATTTCCAATATTGTTTTTTCAATTTTTGACAGGTTTTCACATAGATAGACCACTTTGCAAAGTAATCTTTAAAACAGAAAATTCGCACATCTGGTTGCTTCAGCTATTCACTTTAATTTGGAAATCCTAAATCTTCTCTGTATTGAGTAATATGTAAAATTTTGGCATTTGGGATGAATAGCTGGATGAGTACGATGTGGATCTGTTGACATTTATATTTAAAACAATATCGAATCAGTCTCTCAACAACCTGTCATATTAACCAGTCTATAAGTGCATTATACCATTTTTGTGGAAATGGAATCGATAAATAATTCAAATGTTGGCTTTGTGAGCTATTTGGCATTCAAAAAATTTAAATAATGCGATATACCTTCATCTCAAACGCTATTTTCATTCTCTGGCATGGTACCTGTTACAATCCCGTTAGTGATTCGAGCCAAGTATTTTATATTATAAAGTAGAAAAGCCACAGGTGTATGAACTGTATAAGTATGTCAGTAGGCCTATATATTATACAAAACACTCAATCCAACGTGAACTTAATGAAAATTGGAATGCATTCAGCTATGAAATATAACTTCTACCTAATTAAAAAAATTGCGCGAAGTAGGTTGACTCTGCACTTCTCATGCAATGGCTGTCACTAGTTCATCAGGTATTTTTTTTTTCGTTTCTTGCATCCGCCTTTGAGCCGATTCTCAAAAACTACAAAGCTATTTCGTCGTTTGCATAGTAACCTTGTGTGAAAATTTGATCAAAATCCGATCGGTACTAGTAAAGTTAAAACGGGTAACGGATCAATGGACAGACAGACCCAGCGACATGAGTGACATAGTTTTTCGTAATGTCGTATAACATTAAAAAAACAAGTTCCGTTTTCGAAATTTTTGCTGTACAATACTTCCTCGACAGTCGCATAGGAAGTAAAACTGAAGCACCCCTCTCAGAAAATATCGTTTACTTGTTACTTGAATCAGTAGTAACGATACCAGAAATAAAAGTTTGCTGTGATATACAGGGTGACTTTGAAGTTGAGTCATTAATTTTCAGATAATGATTGTAGAAGGAAGATAAACCAAAATATGTGTGTAAAAATAAAAAAAAATTAAAAAATTTTTTTTACCTTGTTTTATAAAGTATCCTCCCGACAAGTATTTCAGTGCGGACCTGTATTTGATCGTGAGGTCCCCTGTGAGGTCTTAAGTCACCTGATTCACGAGCCCGTTGTACTACATTAACAAAGGCACGAGGGGTTGGTTGCACTCGATTGAGAAACCGATCCGCATAAACATGTGCCATTTTTTATTTCGTTTGAGCCACGCAACAGACACTATTCACACGCGACTGACATTGA